CTTTACTTCTTAGGACATATCCAGGTACACAAACAATAAATTAAAGTCCACAAATTCAGTTTGAATTTCTTATGCTGCCTGCATTTAAATCTTTAAAAAAATCTTCCATTCTATCCTGTGTAATTGTGTGAATGTAACGCAGTCTATCATCTTTAACCTAGCACCTTCTTAGGCTTTCTTTTGGACAGAACATGATGACATACACACACACCCTGATAGTAACTGACTCAGAAAGCATGCCGAGGAATGTCAGGACAGGCATGCTTCGTGCTGAGTGGCATGCTTCACTGGGGAGGACATGGGTGAGGATTATTGTTTGGATATTTTCTCAGGGATACGCCGGTGTGTTGAGGAATAAGCAGGCGGACAGACTGGCTGGCTCTGCACAACTTGGTGGAATACTGATGTATAATAAGGCAGATGGATCACTACAGTCTGGTGAGACTGATGCAGGTGGAAGTGACGATGGGTTCTGGCTGATGCTCGAAGCCCAGAGGAAAGGCAAGATGGACGTTTAATAAGAAATGCTACTTGCACCATTAGTATTGGAACTCTGCACTGGCTGCTGAAGATGGAGACGGAGCACATATAGGAATGCCCCGAGTGCTGTGATGTTGGTTCTTGAATCAACTCAACTTGACTCTTTTGGACGTCCTTGTTTCTTCAGTCCACATATTTCCTATTTAGGTGCATGTTTGGTGATTCTTACCCTTAAGTAAATAAGGAAGTAAGTTCTACAGGATTAAAAAGGCATTTTTAAAAGGCTTTATGCACAACAAATATTTAAAAGTAAGTTCCTTATTTTGAAGCATATTTCTGTTTATACTGTTCATATCTTCAGGATAGATGTTGCCTTAAATAAAGCAAAGTATGATACTTTAGCATACTGTTATACCTTAAATTTGTAGTGTTGGCTAAATAAAGTCTTGTACCATGCTGAATTAATGCATGACTTTCACTGACACAGCCAACAAAGGAGTGTTTCTGTAACAGCTCTCGCATACCTGAGAGGAAAAAAAAACGAGTAAACAGTGTTAAGTGTTTTGCTTCATCAATTCATCATCATCAGTTCTCGTTATGCCTAGTGGCACATGAGGCTTCAGAGAGGACTTTCCATGCTTTTCTGTCCTGTGCAATCTTCAGTGCAGTTTTCCATGTCAAAGATGCCGCACTCAGGTCACTTTCCATCTTTCGTCTCCATGTTGTTTTTGGGCGCCCTTGTTTTCTCTTTCCCTCTGGTGTCCATGTGAGAGCTGTTTTGGCAGGTATATCAGGATTCATTTTCATAACGTGGCCAAGCTTCATCAATTATAAAGTATTAATCATTATCAGAAGCTTTGTTACTGAACAGAAAGAAGATGCACTGCATGTGTAAAAGTCACGTAAAATACTTAGAAGAAAAAACTCACACAAAACATTTTGAAATTGTTAAAGCTGTGACTTGGTTGTGACCGATCCCGGTCTTCTTGGCCAGATCAGCACAGCAAAGCTAAACTTTGATCATAGCCAAAAGGCCGAAGACACAACTATAAGCCATATTGGTCAAGTTCTTAACTGTTCACTCTGTGACACTAGAGTTAGCATGGAAACTGATCTAAGAGATGAACATGTGAAGCAGCACAACAGAGCAAGGGCCCTTTATGTCAGAGAAAGAAACCTATATGACAGTGATCATCTTCCCTGCTGCATACTGGTGGAGAAAAGCAGGTGGAGGAAACATAAGCCCAAGGTGCAAACCTTTCGGTACGAAACTACAGGGCATGATCTCTTGAGTACAATCAGGCGTCAAAAGCGTGAAACACACACGTTTAGGAAGAAAAACTGGATACAACCTGGGGTCCGAGTCCTGGGGTATTGCAGCGATATTTGCATATAATGTTTATGAGCGATTGCACTCAGAGATGGAAATTTGTGCTGCTGCAATTGATCTTGAGGTACCATTTGACTTCTTGATTGGTCAGCTTGTTGATCTCAATCTCAGCCTGTTTCTCATTAACTGGATCTCTTTGAACGGAAGGTGGTGTTTAAATGCGGTAACTGGGCATCTGAACCAATAACTATACATGCAAGGGTCACTTTTATCCCCGATACTTTTCAACATTTTCACCGTGAGAATCACAGGTGAGTAGATCATGGGACCAGGAAGGACACTATCGTATGCTGATGCTTAGTTAGTTAGTTAGTTGGGTTATCATTGCACTCCGGACATGTCCAAAGGTGCTCAGATCCTCCCCTCAGTATGAACCCCGATGGCTAATAGTACCAGTTCTATGTTGGTTAACAAGTCGTCTGGTGTGCGTCTCATTTTTTGCTATGCCGATCTTAATTCCCAAGTCTGCCATTCTGGCGAGTGATGTGAATTCACTGCCACCAAAGTCCTCTATCCTTCCCATTTCTCTGAGGGCATTAATAATATCAGCATGATTCATAGGCCGACCGTCGGTAGTGATAGTGGATCTAGCCAACCTGTCAGCTATTTCATTTCAATCGACGCCTGCGTGTCCCGGAACAAAAATAAAGGTGACCACGCACAGTGGACTTCTGTAATGATTCAAGCCATTGTCTTCGCACCGAACCTGCCTGAACCCTCCGGATCATACTCATTGAATCATTGATTATACATACGTGGGTGTATTTTTGTGTTTCGAGCCAGGCAAACGCTTGCATCACTGCTGAAGCTGTTTTGGTGTACCGCCAAGGTAGAGACTGGTAGCAGGCTGCCAAGGGCCTCCAGACAGAAGTTGCCAGGTGGTGTGATGAAGTCACAGCGGTCGTCAATGTCAAATGTGACATGGTTTTCACTGAATAACCATATTATAAACACACCAGCACCAACTGTGAGTCTGTGTTCAGAGATCATGGCGAGAACTCATTAAATGAAGTATTTAGGAATTCATTTTGACAGCAGTCTTGTTTTTTTATAAGGAAAGGGAACCACACGATAATGAAGGCAAAGGGAAGTTTGACAGCGCTAAGGATTATGGCTGCGACAAACTGTGAACAACGTCAGATATTTTTCTTATACCAGGGTCTGATCCTTTCTGTAACTGAGTACGCTCAGACGATTCTGACTCTTAGCCTTACACAGACAGAAAGACTAAACAGAATTTAGAATGAGGCCACGCGCATCATGCTTGGACGCAAAAAATATACAGCATGCAGAGCGATGTGTTACTTCCTTGTTTTTCTTATTGTGGAAGTGAGAACAGGAATTTGCCGTATCAGTGCTGACACACACCATCCATTGCACAGTGAGATTCGCAGGAAGAAGGGTAGCAGGTTAAAAAGAGGAAAATCCTGGGTGGGTCAGGCTGAGGACATTATTCAATAAGTTTGTTCAACTGAGGACATAAAACCTGTTGAATGGATACGAGTGCCAGAAGAGCTGGGTATATCCTTTTCAGACTGCATAAAACTTGGTAGAGATTGCAAACAAGGCCCGTTGGTGGTTGAGGCAAAAGTGCAAGCCTTAATTCTTGAAAATTCTGCTAACGAATGTGCAGTTATTTACATTGATGAATCCGTCATTCGACACGTACAATGTACATGGGCTTTCACGGTTCTGGTTCAAGGAAAAACTGTAAAAGAAGAAAGCGGGACTTCTGCCTCAACTAGAAGTAGTTTGATGATGGAGGCGATGGGGGTAACAAAAGCAATAATGTGGCTAGAGACACAGCAGTTTTCCCATGCATGCAAAGTGAGTCCATGAGCATGCTCAGAAAGATAGAGACAGGCTGGATTTGAAGAAAATGGAGTCGCTGACCCAATCTCGTCGGAAGGAATTAGTTTCATTTTTGTGCCGGGACACTCTGGAGTAAGAGGGAATGAATGAGTGGATTGGCTTGCTGGCAGGGCCATGGTAGGTACAGGAAAATCAATGGACTGGGCCGACATTCTCAATACTCTCAAGGAGGCAGGATGATAAGATTATTGAAGACATGACTTTGAATCGGTAACACTCAAAAGACTACAAGAGCTTGTCCGATGTGCAATGAGGATAATCTTTTGATTAACTATTAACTATTAAGTGCAGACAATCCTGGAAAGAAAAGACTGCCTTTATGGACCTAGAAAAAGAAACCACAAAATGATACCAAAACAATGTTTAACAGTCACACTGGCTGCAACAAACAGTAAAAGTAATCTTTCATTGAACTTAACATCGCTTTGAATATTTTTCCTATTACTTCCCCTGAAAATGTACCATTTAAAAATTATATTTTGTTGTTATTTTTCTTGAAACCACATATCTAAATGTGTCTGAGACAATACATTTATCTATCTTCCAAGCTATTACATACTGTTGTTAGTATTACAGGGGATGCCTCGGGTGCACTTAGGGCAATGACTAAAGATACGGCAGCGGTGGAGACAAAAATGAAATAGAAGACAGGATGTTTAATATAGGGTTTTTGTTAGGCCCCTATATCCGGTAGGCCTACATAAAGGGCAGCGGTGGAGACCAAGATGAGGTAGAAGACAGGATAATAAGATTTTCTTTCACCATCCCAGGCGAAGAACGGCAATTAAATCTAGCATTTTATAAATCCTTGTCATGGGTGACATTTGAACCTACGACCAACAATATGACAGGCAATCAAGCTTGCCACTGCGCCACCACATATCTCTGTGTGGCTTCCAGGGCTCCATTTTGGAGAACAAAGAATAGACCCACTGTTACCCTAACAAGCATGTCCTAGGAGACAACTAATTAGCCTTGTTGTCTTCAGAGTGCAACTGCATGAGAGGCAAGGAACTAACAGTCCTCACACAAATAAGCCGGATCTGTAAAATGGATGTACATGCAAGACTCAAGTTCTGGATCAGAACCAAATACAGGAGTGGACTACCAGAACTTTCAACTAGAGTTTACAGCTGGTAAACACTAAGAAAAGAAAAACAGTTGCAGAATCTAGAATTTATTTATGTTGGTAGCAAACTCAAAAGAAGAGCTAACATATAAAATAAAAATATAAAACATATTTTGAAACAATACTTACTATCACTGGCACTGTCCTTAACCTCCTGTTTCAGCGTCAGAATACTAGTTAATTTAATCTCCCTTCGTTTCACTTTAAGTCCAGTACCACTGTTACTGTCCTTGTTAGTTGCACCCTCGGTGTCTTTACTTGAGGCTGCACCTTTGATTTTCCTTGCATTACCAACTATGTTTGTGCTGTCTATTCCATCTTTTCCATCACTATTTCTACAGTAAAATAATACCATATGAGTGAACATCAAAGACACCTAACCAAACTATTAAGGGTTTCTGAGTAGTATGTAGTATCTGAAAAATTTATTTTTAAAATATCTGACACCCATTTTTATAAAGCTGAACTGATCTCAGAGCCGTATTGGTGGTGGGAGGAGGGGGGTGGGAGCTGCCAACTCTGGTGATTGAACAGAACCCCAGTTGTGGGGGGAAGGGATAGACCCACCACCCCCCTAATATGAATGTCACACAAAAAGTGACTAGTTAGGAGTTAGCTGAAATTTAATGTGTTAAGCCAAAAGATACAGATATAGCAGCCTGGCTGTAAACCAGATAGCCTGGCAACTGCCTTTCTAAGGGCAAATACAGAAGAGCCCAGACCAATATGATATCTACTGCCTAGACAGTAAGTAGCCAGATTAAATCCCCATCAGCTGGAGGATTATTTTGGGATTACTAATTCTGGCCAATAAGGCTTTAGTGTAATCCCCATCTCATAAAATTAATACTATAGATACTTGTCTGGTTTGAAAGAAACTTGCAAATTAACTTAAAAATCTGTGCTGTGCATGAAGAGACTGAAAAATCCTGCCCCAAACTGGGGAAAATCTTCAAATTCTTGAAAGATTGGTTTCAGAAAAATTATACATTTAACATGCTTGGCTCTGGCACCCAAGAGTTGTGTTTCATGTTTGTTTCATGATAACGAAAACGTTGCAACAGATTTTAGAGACAGTTTGTTTTAATAATGTAAGAGAAAGTTTTTAACAGATGTTAGAGAAAGTGATTCAGCGATGTAAGAATAAGTGTTTCACAGTAGTAAGAAAGTGTTTCACAGTAGTAAGAAAGTGTTTCACAGTAGTAAGAAAGTGTTTCACAGTAGTAAGAAAGTGTTTCACAGTAGTAAGAAAGTGTTTCACAGTAGTAAGAAAGTGTTTCACAGTAGTAAGAAAGTGTTTCACAGTAGTAAGAAAGTGTTTCACAGTAGTAAGAAAGTGTTTCACAGTAGTAAGAAAGTGTTTCACAGTAGTAAGAAAGTGTTTCACAGTAGTAAGAAAGTGTTTCACAGTAGTAAGAAAGTGTTTCACAGTAGTAAGAAAGTGTTTCACAGTAGCTGGAGAAAGTGTTCTATATTTGTTAAGAAAAATGTTCCACAGATGTTAGAGAAAGTGTTCTATATTTGTTAAGAAAAATGTTCCACAGATGTTAGAGAAAGTGTTCTATATTTGTTAAAGAAAAATGTTCCACAGATGTTAGAGAAAGTGTTCTATATTTGTTAAGAAAAATGTTCCACAGATGTTAGAGAAAGTGTTCCACACAAGGCAGAATGTTTGTTACCTGCAGCTGATACAAAACAACAAAAAGTCACACATACCCCGAGTTCTGTTGAGGTGTCTTAGTTGAATGTACTGAAACAGGTTGACCCAAGAAAGCATCTAGCTTCTGTTCTCTGCTGTCTGTTCGAACCATGTCTTGAGCTCTGACTGGTTCACTTCCTGTGACAAAATGTGTGTCTCAGAATATGCTACTAATGTGAGAAACCACTTACACCCCCCCCCCCCCCCCCCCCCCCCCCCCCCCCATAATGATAATAAAAATATATAATTTTAAAAAATTGTGTAGTTCTTCTTAGAATCCATGCCGTATGGCGCTGGTAGTCGTGTCTATCCACTACCTTCTGTCTCGTGTACTTTCAATCAACTCTGACACAGATGATCTTCCATGCCATGATGTCCAGGATCTGTTCTCTCATTCTCCGCCTCTCCTTCCTCCAACTTTCTTACCATCACGAGGTACTTCAATTTTATCCTTCTCATCATATGACCAAAGAATGTAAATTGTCTCTTTCTGATGTGGGCAATAAGTTCTCTTCATGAGTCAGTCTCTATCAAGATGTCTTCATTACTCTTTTTTATCTGTCCTGGGCATTCTCATCATTCGTTTATACAACCACATCTCTGCAGCTTCTAAATAAGTTTTCACTAATTTACTAACTGTCCATGATTTACATAATCACCGTTTACATATTCAGCCTCATTTTCTATTTCCACTTCGTCTACACACCATTGTCTGTTGTGGTACAATGCTGCTAGCTGAGTTACAAGGCAAAACCATGTTACCTGCCATTTTATAATGTAATAATAGCACTGCCACTACTGCCACTTTCATCCTGATTTCATCTTCACTATGCAGAGTGCTCTTAGGATGAATCTCAGCTCAGCTGTAATTGTTCTTTTCTCTTTTTCTGTCATTGTCTAAGTAGCACCTATTTGGTAAGATTGTATTGGAGAATGAATTCCTGCATTATGACTATTATTATTTTTATAAATTAATATCAGCAATGTCTGAGATTGCATGCTATAATTGTGGATGACTTTTCTTAACATGAGTGGGTCTTGCTCGAATTATATTTGCCATTGTCACGGGCTGTGATTATTATGCCTCCCTGTAGCGCAGTATAACACTAGTGTCTGGAAAGGTGTCAGCAACAGAGTATTCATACCAACCATTTTCCACAGAAATCAACACCTTCAAGCATAAACTTGTACAAACAAAATTTTTTTTTTTTTTATTTACCATCTTTTTTATTCTGTTTGCTGGGTAGTTCATCTTGAGCTGGGCCTGGCAGCATTGCCTAAGGATGAAACAAAATTTAACAGTCTTCAGTACCGAACATATTTAGATAAATTTAGCAAAGAACCCACGAATACATAAAAATAGCTACGCCGTAAACCAGTTATAATGGATTAGGACAGGTATAAACAAGTAACAGCATGCAAGAAATTCTTTGCAGAATATCACTCTAATAAAACCCTCCACACACAAAAAAAAGTTAACCCTGTCATCCTAAATTTAGTCACACACATAAAAGCCTATACAGCAACCTGTGCATGAAAAGCAGAGTTATATTCCCCTGGTTCTCATGTGTGCCTGTACTGCATTTAATATGCCAGGATTTGGATTAGTATATAAATATAGCATTTGGAAAAAAATGGAGGGGGTGTGGGGGGTTTGTCCCTCATGACCCCAATGGCCACTATAAAGCAAAGTTGATGTCAAATTTTTCTGTAAGCCACACTGATAAAAGTCAGGAAATCATGGATGGAATCGATCAATACATATTTTTTATGCCATGGGGAATTTAATGTTTCACTCTGTTCATGTTTATTCATATTTTTAAAGGATTTTTCAGGAATTCTTATGGGTTTATGAACCATTTTGTTAGATGTTTAACTCGTGGAGAATTCCTTGGTCACATTTAGATTGTATGTTAACATACATGAACATAGCTGTTACTTCAACTCTTCCACATTATGGTGTTCTCTAGATCCTAACATTATTAAAGTAATACCTTACAAGACAAGTAATAATCTAGATCCGTAAAACAGATATACACACAAAACTCAAGTTCTGGAACAAGATGAAAGTCCAGAAGTGAACGAATAACCAAAACTTTCCACTATAGTTTACAGCTGATGAAGGCTAAAAAGAACACACGTTCAAAAAACACACTTCAGGATAAAATAAATTGGACTGAAAGAGTTCAATCTTTAAAATAATTCCTAAGAATCCTCAAGAACAGTCCAGTTCAGCTCTTGTGTATGAATGTTTTTTTTTTACATTTTACTTGATACTCATGTTAAGTGTGTTGTTATGTAAACACAGCAGCATGCTTTTAAAGATCAAATACAATTGCAGTATAAAAGATGAGTGTTTTGAAGGGCCGAATGTAACATGGGCCTGTGTACCCAGTTTGTGACTCTCTGAAAATATAGTTTGTTCATTTATTCTACGTCCCTCTTCTCTTTTGGTATATGCCTTATATAATTTAGCGTTGCAAAGCATTTTCTTTAAGTGGGCAAATCATTTTATTTGCTGCGTATATGACTAAATATGAAATTATAAAAAAATTAGCACAATGTAGTGGATACCTGAGTGAAGAAAGTCCTGGACGAGTTGGACCCCAGTAGCTTGGCTTCCACTGCTGCTTGAATTGAGGAAATGATAGCATCTTCATGGAGGAAGTGGACCTCATGCTTGGTAGGGTGGACATTAACATCAACATTTTGTGGAGAAATTTCCAGGCTAAAACATCAGTTATGACAGGAAACATGTTGAATTATGATGTCAACAGAAATGAAACCTAAACTGTCTTAGTGGGTTGGGTAAGTGTGTGTTGTCATTTATTGTTTTTAAATGTTGTTTCAATGTAAGAGGACCGCCCTCATTGCACCAGGTTTTATCTCATGTGGCTTGGTCTCTCATCACAGAGAGACTCTCTGCCGAAAGTGTTGCACAAACAGAAACTCCGTAGCTCAAACAATGATCCTCAGGGACTTCTATTATATTCCCACTCCCCCTTTCCAAGGTGGTCCTGGAAACATCAGGGGTTCTATAACAGATGAGTAGACAGGTATCTGATCTACTAACGCAGTAGTAATAAACTATTATAATTTTAAAATTTACGTCAACACAAAAATGAAACAAAACAACTGAATTAGCTCGCAATGTGAATTCCATGAAAGAACATCATACAAGCTGGCTTTACTTCCCATCACTTACCCATTTAAGACTGGGTTGACCTGGGAGCCAAAGAAATTTGTTAAACAAAAATCTGTCTCTGTCTAGACTTGAACCCACCACCTCTGGATCCACAGGCAAGTGCTCCACCAAGGCGGCTTCCACAGCGATGTCTTGCCAATAAACAAAATAATTTCTTTCTCTGTATTTCCTCGACTATCAAAACTACTATCTAAATAGTAAATTGCTCTGTTACTTTAATTCTTTTTGTCTCTTACGTACTGATACTTCAGTCTTTAGGTTTAATTTGATGTTTCTAACTACTAGTAAACATTGAAAACAAAATCTGAAAAACGATTTGGCTAGTGTCCATTGTGTGCAAATGAATATAAGCATACATATTTAGGCATGCCAATGATTTCTAAAGACACGTTTTTGTGTTCTTGTGAATGAACTCCGATTTTAATTGGACTGTCAAGTCTGAATACATGAACACAACATCGTATTTTTTATAGACGCCAACAAGTGAAATACAAAGATTCAGCTTTTTTTTTTTTCAGCCTGCTTCCCCAGAACTGGTTATAACCAAATGCTTTAACTTGATTCTGTTTTCATTAAAATGTATTTTTTCTGTATCTCTGCATCTGATATGAAGATATGCAATAAAATAAAATGTATACAAATATCTCATCTTATAAGAAACTGAAAAATTATATATTTTTTCTGTGTCTAATATGAAAATACGCAATAAAATAAAATGTATACAAAGAGCTCACCTAAAAACTATATGTTAGCTGTGTCTGCAGGGTTAGAACCTGTAAGGCAATGAAAATTTTTTTTGTTTTTGGGGGGCAATAATTGAAATCCTGACCTGAACAGATAATGGCAGCTGCACTAACCTTGCGACCCTAAATGATCAGACTTAACCCCCCCCCCCCCCCCCACCGTCCTACACTGTTCTTAAACAGCGGTAAATTCAGGCAGTAAAGACAATTTACGTCTGCTCAAAAATAAAGTGCAGTTTGAAAAATACATATACAAAACATATACTACTTTAACTCTGCTACATCTCTTAACATAATAAAATGTGTACGAGAGTGAGATAGTCTTACCTTAAATAAATGAATGGGTGAGTACCTTTAGGAAGGTAGGATTGGTACACTGTGTCTAAAGCTTTTCGTATGCTTGTGGAATCTACAAGTCTGTCTGTAACAGATGTATAAACTTTGCTGATCAAATAAATATGCTTTCAATCAAAAGCTTTGTTGAACATTTATCTTGATGTAACATATATAGTCGCGAACATGCTCGCACACACACAAAAACACAGAGGGAGTTTTCAGGTTTGAAAAGTATAGCAATAACCTATATTATCACCATGGGTGTTTTCAACCCCACCCCCCCCCCTCCCCCCCCCCCCCCCCCCCCCACAATCCCGAAATGTGGCCCTGAAAACCACATAAGAACTGGCCTGTTGTTCTATAATAGATGAGTAGGTAGGTATCTGATCTACTACTGCAGAACCAGGGAAAACCTGAGTTCCTTTATTATTAATAAACTATAATTTTTAAATTTCCGTCAACAAAAATATATTACAAAACAAATGAATGAGCTGGCAATGTGGATTCCATAAAAGAACATGTATAAATGCTGAACATGCACTTTCTGTACATTAGCTTTCCTAAATGAGTTAAAAATAATGTATTCTACATTCTTCTTCTTCAGCATTCCGAGCCCTTGAGGTTCATTGCTGCAGATATCACCCGCCTCCATTCATCTCTCTGGTTGGCCCTCTCTTTCCAGTTGGTAACATAAAGTGTTTGCAGGTCTGTCTGGATATTATCTCTCCATCGTCTTCTTGGTCTCCCTCGTGGTCTACGACCAGTCACCTTCCTGGGTATACAGTTTTTACTTCTCTATCATCTGATATTCTTTCAATATGCCCCAACCATTTCAGTCTATTAGCTCAATTAGTATTCTACATTATTTACCACAAAATAAATTAATAAGGAAAGCAACAAAAAGAAAACTTACGATTGATGAAAAGCAAAAATGTTGATTTCTTCACTGAGTAATTTGCATTACTCACCAAAGCCAACATTGAGAAACCAAGCTTGCTGTCTTCATGTTTTACTTCTAATAATTCTCTGTGGGGAATAAATTCAAGATAAGACACAATTGTAAAACCCAAGGAGATTTGTGGAAAAGACAGAACATGCAACAGGGCAGACACATAGCAAGATCTACCAGCCTCTCCACAATATTACTACAGGGCTCTGAAGAAGGGAAGAGGAGAAGAAGCAAATCAAGAAAGACTAGCATATAGGATTTGGCAGAAAAGACAAGCCACAAATATCAAGTCTACTGCATCTGATCAAACAAGGTGGTAGGAAATGATCAATCGAGGTGGAGGAAATGATCAATCGAGGTGGAGGGAACTGATCAATGGAGGTTGAGGGAACTAATCAGAGCCAGGAGCAAATGGTGACCCAACAACATGCAGTGTTATGGGACTATGATGGTACAGATCTACAGATGATACAGCTTTTTGCTGACGACCAGGCAATGGTAGCATCAACTAAAAGAACAACTACAAGAACCTGTTAACAGACTTCACAACAATGCAAGGACTAAGATATGAAGAATAATGTAAACAAAACAGAAGTGCTCAAGAAAAGGAAGAACCAGCAATATCAAAAATAATTTAAATCAGTTAAAACAGACTAAAGACTTTCAGAAGATCGAAGCATTAATAAAGAAATCCAACAAAGATATAATAAAACCAATCATTTTATAGGCCAAATGGCACCAATTTTGAAATGAAAGCACGTGAATATGAACAATAAAAGAGCACTGTTCAACATAATACTCTTACCAATGCTATACTATCAATGTCAAACATGGACAATGTCTTCAGAAAACAGACGGAAAAGTCAAAATATGAAATGTTTACACACAAAGCTAGGTGTAACAAAGAAAGATTTTAGGAACAATATTAAGAGGAGAGTTGGTACCGAATCAATACAACAGATCAAGTGATCTGGCCACGAAACAAGATTGGCAGCAGACAAGGCACCATGGACAGCAATGTTATAAAGACACAACAGTAACAGATCCAGAGGTCGACTATGCAGAATAAGGACCACAGAAATATAAGAGACACTGAAAGTACTATATATGAAGTGAGTAGAAGGGCCCGTTCCAGAGATCTCTTCTTGCCATGACACTGTGGAGCATTTCAGAAGTAGAGAAAAGAAGAAAAATAAGTACAGATCTACAGCTGCACACACAAAGCATAAAAACATACCAGCTAGATAAAAACAACAGTTTGGAGAGGTTTGAACAACGAACAGATCAACATCATGGCACAAGGGTAGGAACACATAAGTGCTCTGTTCTCTTTCTAACTTAAGTCTGAGTCCGAAGTAGCTCAGCGCAGTGCATGGGCTCCGTAGCACCAGCGAGGATCCTGAAATATTTTGGGTGGATTTTTAACTCAAAATTTTGCCCGGGCAGCGCCGTAGGCTACTCTTTTCGATTTCCAACTGCCAAGGGATTTTTTTACGTGCACAACAATTCACACGGGCGTCCGATCCCACTATCCAGAGACTAGGGGAAATTACTAGAAGTCCACACTTGAAAAAAGCCAGCCTTTACCGGGGCCTAAACCAGGAACCTCTAGCACTCAAGGCGGACACCATGCCTCGAGACCACACAACCCCATGGAAATTTATTAAATTACCACAAGCAATAACCAAAAACATTATGTTCAATGCACCTGTCTGATCAGTGGAAAAGATTATTTATTAAAATTTAATGAAGGCAATATGCAGGCATTAATACCATATGACTGACTTTTAAAAATCTGTTATCTTCAACAGTCTAATGGCCATTAGTAACTTTGAGTGCTGTTTTATAACTGTATCAGTAAAAAAAAATTAGAATGGTAATTATAATAATAATTTACTAATGACTACACAAGTGATAGCACTGCAAAGACTAGTGGCAAAAAACAGAGGTCTGCCAGTTTCAGTGTATACAGATCATTCTATGAATAAACCAACCTGCTGACTGCCACACCATATATAACTCTGATATTGTCCACACATGACGAATCTGGGGGTGTCCGTACATCGGTCATACTTTCACCTTGCTGTAAACATAGATACACAATTTTTAAAATGATAGGATAAAGGGATGTTTTCATACCATTACGCATACTGATGTTATTAGGACCCTTTTTTATGCCAGCGGTGCATCGGGCACAAGATGCTAGACTAATATTATCATAGACATATCAGTACTTGATGGGTGATGTGGTTAACATTAGGCTGGTTGCCTGAACTTTCCTGAACATTCCATGGCACCCATTTAACTTTTTTCATCCAAAAAGGTCACAGCTGATGCCCCAGTTCAACTGCAAAACCAACAAAATAATTAGTATACTACATCCACAAGGCTGAAGTTCACACCCCTTATGGGAAACAAATGTGTTGTTAAGTGTTTAAGCAAGCCCCGACTAAACATAAAATGTACAAGCATAGTAATATATGAACTGGTGCATATGAGTAAGTCCACATAAGGTGCACTGTCTGGGACTGAAAGAGTTGAGCCTGAGTTGACCAGTGAGCCATGGTCACATCTGAAGAAAAAAAAATCAAACTCGAACCTTAGACCTTTGGATTGGCGAGTGAGCATCTAGCCACTATACTACTAGGGCTTCCACCTAGGATACTTTATGTAAGTAGAGGGCCAGTTTCTATGCACTGTTATGTATTAAAGATATGACGCTAGCCACATATTTGGTTTTAAAGGCTATTTGGCACTCAATGTGAGATGTGGTAATAACATGCTGGCCACTTTTACTTACCAGAACAATTCCTGTTACCCATATTTAGGCTTACTTGAAAACATAACCTCTGTGGGGATTCAAACATATGAACACTCAGCTGGCTAGCAGGCAAGCATATTCATGGCTCTAGCAGACTATGTATTTGTTCTATATCTTATTTTGTATAATCTCTCTGACTTCTTTATTATACATATTATACAATACTGGCTTGTACAAAAACAAAGAAATAAAACTATAGAAACATTTCAGAAGACTATTTCCATCTTTAAATTCAATATATTTGAACGAGAGTGTGAAGACAGAAAAAGGTTTCCACAATAAGGTGATATTTCTTTATTCCCTTGTGATTCAAGGACTGCATCATTCCAATATTTTCTTGTAAAACTTTAAACTGGGCCAGAAGGTGACTGCTCAGTGGATCCAAATTATACATGGAAAAATGTTAGGAAATATAAGCATTTTAGAAATCATTCATAATACAAAAATAGCAAGATACCTTTTTCAGAGTGAAACCAACTTTGCTGTTGTGAATAGCATATCTGGAAAGGGAAACAAAAGTTTATTACACTAAAGTTTAAATATAAGATCTTCTACTTCATGTTCTTGTTAGTCTTAATGTCTTTTTTCTATAGATAAAAGCACTTCATTATTAAGAAGCAAATTCTGCTGTATCAACAATGTAATTGGTAGATGGACAGTTAGTTTCTAATGGCATTTTTTTTAAACAGTAAAACATTTATGGAAAACAAATGTATATTTATGCAAAAATTAATTTCTTTAATTATAACAATATTATTTTTATACTACAAATGTCTGATTCAACGGGTTAACTTTGAAAAAAAAAAACCAATATGTGTACAAACACATAAACATAGGATGTGCATACTTGCTGACAACATCTACAACTTTGGAATGTTCATCTGCTGGACTGCGCAGTGCTTTACGTCTGGTTGCTACATTGTAAAACAAATCTTCTACCTAAAAAAAAAAATGAAAAAAAAAACATACGACTAATTCACATCATGTAATTCAATACACAATCTTATTTCATTAAATATATTAAAAATACAGCACTGAGTTCTGATGTATTAGAGTGAAACTACTGTAAACAAAGATGCATTAGAGTGGTTTAAAAGAAAACAGTAAAGGACCCTTTTCCATGCTTTAGGGCCCTAGGCATATAGGGCTAGACCTATATTTTATAGAACAATTAGCATTTGGTGGGTGATGCTTTCCAGCATTTGACCTGTTACCCATTTAAGTCTATGTTGACCGGGGCGTGAAAGTCATTGTTGACCAAAAAAAAAAAATCTGGCTTCACCAGGATCTTAACCCATCAACTTCAACATTTAGGGTGAATAGGGTGAAACTACAGCATAAAGTCCTGATGTAATTGAGAGAACTACTGTATAAAATGTTCTGATGAATAAGAGTATAGCGACAGCATAAATTTCAGATGTATTAGATTGTTCTTATTCTTATTTCTTTGCTTTGGGTTTGTATGCTCAGGTCTTAAGGCAAGTTTATTTTCATAGCTGTAGGTAGAATGGGCAGGCCTGCAAAATGTGCTCAGGTGTTTGTGGTCCCATCTGACATGCACACTGTAGGAATTGTAGTCTTTATTTTATGCATTTGATAGCTGAGCCTGCAGTGTCCTGTCTGTAGACGGAAAACTGTTGTATATTGCTTTATGTTCAGTCTGGAGATGGGGCTTGTGGATATTTAATGTTGGTTTGTTTTCTCAGTAATTCTTGTACTTTCCCCCTGATAAGTGTTTTGATTTCTGATATTGACAATGAATGGGTGTCATGTTTCTCCTTTGTTCCAATTTTTTTAAGTCTGTCTGCCAACTCATTTCCTGGTATGCCATAGCAAGCCAGAATCCACTGGAGAATAATTTAATTGTTTGTTTTCTGAGAATTTGTTTAGCTGGTGGGCCAGTTCTCTCTCTGTGTTGTCTTGTGGATCCATCTGAGTCGCCTGACATGCAGTCACAGATGAATACAATTTTGATGTTTTTAATTTTTCTCACCTCAAGCACTTTGGTTGTATCAATAATTGCTTGCTGTTCTGAAGTTTTTTGAGTTTCCAGGAGGCACATGACGTTTCAAACATAATTTTATCTTCTAGCATAATGACTGAACTAGTTCCTCCGTTTTTTGCCGCTTCCTCCAATGATCCATCAGTGTATATGTGTGTCCATTCAGGTTTTGGACAAGAGTCGTAGACTTGTTCAAGGGTTTTTGCATGCAGTACTAGGTGACATTCTTTAACCTTTCTGTCTATGCCTGGGATTTGTTTTTGTAACTGTATAGTTAGGCTGTAGGTCTATGTTGTATTAGACTGAAAACTACAGCACAATGTCTTGGTGTCTTACAATAAAACTATTGTAAAATGGTTCTTTTTGTATAAGAGTGGAACTACAGCATAAAGTCATGATGTATAAGACTGTAATAGCTAAAACTGTTTATGTTTATTAGGCTATGATGAGTCATTTATTATAATACAAACATAGTAACACTAGAATAGCTGATATACTTATGTAAAGGCAACCTGACAATGCCCATTATCATATAGCAGGTTCTTTCCAGAACGTTGCTTTCATCACAGCTTGTCAGAAAGTCATTTAATCCTGTGCTACTTTTCCCACCTCAGAAACTTGTGTGCACAAAGTCTTCTTAATATCCCATGTCCACCATCATGCTCGTCAAGCCCTTCTTATTCTTCCAGGAACTATATGCAAAATACAACACAAATCCAAAATACAAGTTCTACTCACTGTGATTTGTGTTCCTATATTTCCTGCAGTTGGTTTCACCGGCTCTTTTAATTTACCATCAGAGTAGGTTCCCCTAAACAGAAATATATAAATTCATATACACATACATATGTGTATATATATACATACATGCACACACACACACACACACACACACACACACACACACACACATATATATATATATATATATATATATATATATATATATATATATATATATATATATATATATATATATATATATATATATATATATATATATATATAAATAAAGATATATGTATATATATATATATATATATATATATATATACATATATATATATATATATATATGTGTGTGTGTGTGTGTGTATATATATATATATATGTGTGTACATACATTCGTGTACATACAAACATACATACATACGTACTTATGAAAGAACGTACACATGTATATGTGTGATTATGTTTAACTCTTATGAACATAATAAACATTTTAAATAAGCAATTACTCTGCAGTGAACAACTACAAGACCACCTGCGGTAATGTGAAGAGTTAAGAAAAGTGAACATCCTTGATATTTATGGGGATACGTCAATGGTCAAGATGTTCAACTTGCCTAGTCACATTTCCGGCTTTTTCTTCTTTGAGTGCCTGATGTGGAACCAACAATAGTGATTATGACTTTCTGTCCTTTTGTATTTGGATATAGTCAGTCTTGTCTATTTGTTGCCTAGCTAATCAAGTTTACTATATACATCTTTCTTTCTTTCCCTTGTCCAGTATTTTCTCACATGTTAATAGTTCTATTCTACCTCTTTCCTACTTAGACCTACACAAAAATAAGAATTTTTTTCCATGTGGTTTTGATTAGTGATCCTGTACCACTTCCATCTACAATATGATAGAAATAAACATGACAGTAGGTGATCAGCCATTAGGACAGATAATGATTAAACATTACTTGACAATACAAGAGGAAAGTGCCCAGTGGTTTCAGAATATCAAATAAACCTGATATTGTAAAGGAAGAAACTGTTCTACACTCTAAATGACTGGAATTTCACTGAAATGACATGCATTTAACTGCTTCAATATTGATTTTATTTAATTAGCTGTATTTCCCTGAGGTATCCTATAAGTTTTCATACCCTGGAAAACTTTTTTTTTAAATGAAAACCATTTTTATTTATATGATATGCTCTACATGACTACCATTTTTTTGAAAACATATTTAAATGCATGTCCTCCATTGCTGAAGCACACGTACAAGCACAGATGGAGTTATGCTTGTAATGGCACTGGTGATACATTCCTTGAGATGATTTATGTTTTGAATCTATTCTCTATACACCATGGCCTTCAAATGCCCCCCCCCCCCTTTCCCCAGATAAAAATCAAGTGGGGTGAGACCTGGGAATCTGGGAGGCAACTCGACAGGACCATACTGACCTATCCAAGCATCTGGAAACTTCTAATTTAACCAGTGATGTACGTTTCTTTTTCCTTTGTATTATAATCAGGAAGATAACAATCTCATAGAGGTAAAAAAAATAGTATATCAAAAAAGGAGATTATGAGCAAGAGATTTAGCTTCAATGTTTTTAAAAAAAAAATCTTATGTGACTGGCTTCTCTCAGCACAGCAGAATAGCAGCAGCACTTATCACGGACTCGCCCACACAATGAGAGTTCCTTCCCGTCCCATTCATGCCCCGGCAGGTCCCACGGCTGTCTTTGATGCGCGGGTGCTATTTATTCCTCATTTTCAAAGGTTTAAGTGTTGTCTCTTTTCTCGTGTTGTTACCACTCACTTGTATAATTATTTCCAAGTTGTGCTGCTTGCCCAGTGGTTTGGGAGCATGGAAACTGCGATGTCCTTGTCAGTGGCTTCTTTTTATCGGGGGGAGGTGGGGGAGCCACCGCCAATGAACAGAAAAATAAAAATATATCTCAGATTCGACACTTATGAACTGTCACGCATGCAAGCGCCCCCTGCAGTACTTCTTACTTGTACACAGGCGCCTGTGGCGCCTCAAAGAAACTAACGACAACATAATCTCCCACAAACATTGTATATGAGAAGCAAACACCAAACAAAGCCATCTCATAACACCCCCATAACACAGGACAGGCTGTGCGACCCGCGGCAGCATGAATGGGAAGGGAAGAAACTCTCATTGTGTGGGCAAGTTTGTGATATTTTCTGTGGCCGCTGCTGCAAGACATATTAAGGGGGTGCAAGTAAAGGTCTCACTGAACTCACCACTTTACATTGGATTTATAGACTATGAAAAAGCATTTGACAGCATAGATAGGGAATCTCTCTGGAAATTGATGGGGCACTATGGAATCCCACAGAAAATTATCAACTTAGTATAGGCAACATATAAAGACATGAAATGTCGAGTTCTTCATGAGGGAAAGCTAACAGATGCATTTGAAATAAAAACAGGTGTGCAACAGGTATGTCTTTTGTCGCCTCTCTTATTTTTACTGGCCATAGACTGGACTATGAAAACAGTAACTGCTAACATCAAGAATGGAATTCAGTGGACCCCTACAAAACAGCTTGATGATCTGGACTTCGCTGATGATATTGCTCTTCTGTCCAATTCACGGAATCAGATGCAAGATAAATTAAATATACTTAATGCGAGATCACAGCAGCTTGGTCTGAAAATCCATAAAGGAAAGACAAAGATAATGAGAATAAATCAGGCAAATAGTAATGTAGTTTCTCTTAATGGCACCCCACTCCAAGATGTGGAGTCGTACACCTATTTAGGCAGTAATGTAGATAAAGATGGAGGAACTGATAGAGATTTTAAAATAAGAATACAAAAGGCAAGAGGTGCTTTCATAGCACTAGGGAATTTGTGGAGGTCAAAAGAAATTAAAAGAAATACTAAACTAAAAATTTTTAATTCTAATGTCAAATCAGTACTATTGTATGGGGCAGAAACACGGAGAAGAATCAAGGCAATTACTAATAAATTACAGACATTCATTAACTGGTGCCTGCGCAGAATAGAGGGAATAAAATGGTGTGATAGAATAACTAATGTAGAACTTTGGGAGAGAACTAAACAGGCTCCAGTGGATCAGGAAGTGAGGAAAAGACGCTGGCGTTGGATAGGGCACACACTGAGAAAACAGGAGAACAGCATAACTAGAATGTCTTTGCATTGGAACCCACAGGGGCATAGGAATGAAGGAAGGCCAAAAAAAACACACGGAGAAGAGAGCTGGAGAACGAGGTTAGAAAGTTTGGGAGGACATGGGGACAGCTCCATGCAATGGCAAAGGATAGAACGATCTGGCGTGAATTGGTTGAGGGCCTATGCTCCATTGGGGGATAGAAAGGCAGAAGAAGAAGAAGGAGAGTAAAGGTCTCAAGGTACTGTACTGTGTGTGATCCATGCTAGAATAGGTGCACAGCAAATGGTGATCACTGAAGAAGAAAAGCTAGCTACCTGCCAAAAGTGTCTCAAAAAAGCACTCTCTGTAGTCTGATGATGACCTACAGGGATCTCTGAAATAACGTATTCAAGAACTGATCTAGAGTCTGAAAATGATCCCATGACCTTGAAAACCCAAGGTAAATGGCTAAAGTGTCACTACTAAAAGAGACAATCATCATCATAGTCCCATAACTTACATGTTGTTTGGTCACCAGCAGCTGTTGACTACCTAATCAACTGCCTGTAGGTCAGATGCACCTAACTTTATGTCTGCATATTTGTGGCCTATCTAGTTTTTGGTCTGCCTTTTCTCTTCCTCCCTTCTACTGAGCCTTATAGAAATGTTTTGGAGAGGCAGAAGAAAAATGCTTTTAAAAGAAAATTAGCATCCACATAAATGAGATGTCTGAGAAAGGTTTGAATGAAGAGTGACGAGAAGGGAAAAATTAAAAACAAGGTCATAAGAGAAAAAGCTGGCATAGAGCCAATTCTAAATTACATACAAAGACAGGAGATCAAGTGGTCTGTCCATTTAGAGCGAATGCCTTGTGATACCATACCAAACAAAGCATACATCAAAAAGGAAGGATGTTAAGGAAAAGGTAGATCAAGAACAAGATGGAAAGATAACATCAGAGAAACTCAACAAGAGAATGATGTGTCTACGGATGAGGTGACCAGAACAGCAAGAGGCAGAATTGTATATCTCCCTCGACACCTGAAGTGGTAAAAGAGGAAGTGAAGAAGAAGAAAGCAATATCTTTTTAATCAATATAAATAATTTACCTAAAGGCACACTTTGACGATGATGTCCTTGTGGTAATTGTGACATGGGCAACATGACTTATGCTTGCCAGAGCTTCCCCACGAAAGCCGTAAGTGCTGATGCTGTTGAGATCCTCAAACTGCCGTAGTTTACTAGTAGTATAACGTTCACACACAATGTCCATGTCTTCTTTCTATAGCAAAAATGAAAAACAAAGGACTAAAATATCAAAATGTACACTCTTCTCACATCATCAATAAATCAGGCACTGCCTCCAATATGAAGGCTGTCTGCAGTAGATCCTCAACTGTCTCTGCCTCTCATCCTGATTTTAATTCATATCACACATACATCTATTATTACAAGGACATTAAGCTGTAAAGTAAAGGATCCTTTTCCACGCCTTCAGGCGTACTGGGCATATAGGGCTAGAACTATATTTTATACACCATTAGGCACTTGGTGGGTGATGTGGTCAGCATCACACCCGCCACCTTTACTTCCCTGGACTTGTACCTGGCACCTATCCAAGGCTGGGTCGACCTGGGAGCCAAGGTCGTTTTTGAACAAATCCGGCTCCGTCAGGATCCAAACACATGACGTTGCGATCTGCAGGTGAGCGTCTAGCCGCTAAACTATGACAACTCCCATTAAACTGTAATGAAAAAATATATAACTACTCAGAAATACCATTTATTCCATAATGTGCTACAGACATGCTCTCTACATGCAGTAGAGAGATTCTAAGTTTGGCCAGTTGGCATTCCAGTGGAAACGAAGCTCTATGGAACAGTTAAAGACATATCGAATGCTGAACCAAGAATCAACATCAAGGCACTCTGGATACCCCATAAGAACTCCATCCTCATCTTCAGCTGCAAGCAAAGAGTTCTAATTCCCATAGTACCAGTAACTGTCTGATTATATATTCATCTCACCCTTCTCTTGAGTGTTGAGCGTCCGCCAGATCCCCTGGTAACTCCTCGCAGTGCCATTCTACTCAGATCACAATGATCTATTTGTGCTTCCGCACTGTTCACTCGCTTCTAAAGGGCCCTCACAACATCTAGCTTGTCAATCACCAATTCACCACCAAATGGTGCAGAACTGGCCAGTCTATCTGACAATTCTTTTATCAACACACCAGCATAACCTGGAGAAAATATCCAAAAGGACGCTAAGTACCCGGGACCTCTGAAATGATGCTTGCCACTGCACAGAGCATGCCTGTCTCCACCTGTGAATCAGTTACAATCACGGTGTGTGTATACAGCTGATTTTCAAGTCAACAGAAGGCAGCAGTGACTGTCTCCATCTCCATTCTCAAACTAGACGTGATTTACAGTGGAAGGCATGTGTCACATCACTGACTTAATAGAGGCCTGTGGCCTTCTCATCTGAAATCCACTGGCAGGGAGAATGAAGATTCCACATCTCTTTTCTTTTGTGTCCCCTTAAACATTCATTAATTAACCGCTGCAGACGGTGTAGGCTTTTGCTGCGCATGCCCAAGAAAAAACAACAAAGAATATAAAACACCACTTCCAAACAAAATACATTGGAAGTGGCTATAATTTCTTTAGCATGCTGTTACCAAATTACTCAACAGATTATAGCCAGTTTAAAAATAAAAATAAAATCACACAATGCTTTGGACTGAAATAGTTAAACAAACAGCAAAATATAAAAAATGTTATTGCAAAAATATTAGCATACCCTAATTCCACAGCCATTGTCTTGAATCTGCAACATCTTCAGCCCACCTTGTTTCACTGTGACTTGTATATTTGTGGCTCCTGCATCAAGGCTGAATTAAAAATCAAGCATATTTTAACCAATTGAGATGAAATAAGGGTTGCCATCATAAATTTTCAAGGACAAGAGATCTACTTACAGGAGCAATGTATTCTTTATGTATGCTATAAATATTCTTATTTTTTTATAAAAATAATTTCAATTAGTAAACCTAGGCAGCTTACTGGTTGTAATTTATAACCACTAAAAAAGTAAAGTGTAAAAGTAGTGAAGGACTCTTTTCCACGCCTTTAGACGCATAGGGCATACAGGGCTAGACCTATATTTTTATAGAACATATTGGCACAAGATGTGGTCAGCATCACACCGGCCGACTTTAATTCCCGGGACTGCACCGGGTACCCACTCAGGGCTGGGTCGACTTGGGAGTCAAGGTCATTTTGGAAAAAAGTCCAGCTCCACCAGGGAGTGAATCCATGACTCTCCTATCCGCACGTGAGTATCTAGCCGCTAGGCTTTCAACCACTACAAGATTTAATGTGCCCAACATGCACACTAGTGATGAAAGTATAACTACAAATTCCTTTTACCTGGAACTCCCTGGTAAAAGAAATAGAGAGGAACCTATAACCACATGAAAAAACAGAAACAGGGATAAATAATATGGAGAGGTCATGGGTGGAGCTGCAGAAGATGAATGAGTGCAGTTGAACCCCACTAGAACTGCATACAGAGTGATTAACACCCAGTCGTCCAAACAGTCACTATTAGGATGATAATCCGTCGTCATGTACAAATCCTGGAAACGCCATTCAACCATAAGGTTATAGTGAGGTCCTCAACGGATTTGAAGTAACCTCAAGCCTGGACAGGATGAGGTTTTAAGGTGACTAACTAGTTGCTGCATAAGATGGCAATGGGCAAGATGTCAGGGTGAGGTGATCGAGGGTCTACTCTCAAAAAGCAGATAAAGTGCTGGAGAAGACATGGAGATTGGTCTCATATGTTGGGTCCACTTTATCCAAAAATTATAAATACTTGAAAACTAGCTAAGAATCAGGGCATATGCAAACTTCCTCACTTTTTACATGTCCGCTGCTTTAATGGCGCATGACCCTTTCAAGCAAAAGATGGAAGACACATCTGTAAGTCATACCCATGGAACAAGATATGGTCAATATCACATCATCCACCTTTATTTCTCCAGAGAAATCTCTGAAACCAATATTATGAGGTTAACCTGACTTTACAGCCGACTTCAGTAAACAATAAATGTACCTCTCTGTAAAAGCCACCAACCTGTTTTCTATCATCTCTTTCAGAGCATTTGCTGGTCTCTGAATAACTTCTCCAGCTGCTATTCTGTTGACCACGACTTCATCAAGACGTTTTATTGAAGGAGCTGCGTCTGCTGACATGGCGAATGATGAATTCAGCACCTCACATCTAAACTCTTTGAGTTTCCCAAGAGTCAATGTAGCTTCTGAAACCAACAAAAGATTTATATAAAAATACTAGATTTAACTGCCCAGCTTCCCCCAGGATAGTAAAAGAAAGTCTTATTCTCCCATCCTTCGCCTCATCTTGGTTTCAACCGCTGCCCTAGTGGAAATAGAGGTTTAACTAAAATCATACATTTAATATCCCATCTTCTACTTCATCTTTGTCTCCACCGCTGCCGATTCTTTATAAGCCATTGCCTCTAAGTGCATTTGAGACACCTCCCATAATACTAAGACCAATGTTCAACAATTTGGGAGACAGACAAATGTATTGTCTCGAACACTTACAGATATGTAGTTTCAAGGAAGATAACACCAAAATAGTTTACCTGATCACCACCAATCCCAAACCGTGAATTTCATTAAGCGTGGCCACATCGCCTACTAAACTTTGGTAATTAAGTTTACATGCCTACTAAACTATTGCTGCTTTATGATTTATATTTCAAATTTACAACAACTGTTGCATTTTTCTTTATGCATCTGTCATAATGACCAGTTGTTGAGGAATGTCAGTTTAAGACATTTTTATGTGGTCACTCCCAAACCCTTATCTTATTGTCATTTTCACCAAGCGTGACCACATTTGCCTAGTACTTTTAAAGTTCAAATGCCTAATAAGCTACTACTATATGATTTATATTTTTAAATTTACAGCCACTCTACAATATTTTAATGCATCTATCGTAATTACCATTTGTTGCAGTGGCTGGCGGTTACAACATCAGGCTCTCATGTGAGACCCAGGTGTGACCCGGGGTGAGGTAAGGGAATATTTGGACGAGTGCTGACAAGTGACATTTTCATCTCTGTCCAGATGTAATGGGTTTACAAACAAAAACTCAATAATTACAACTTTACTAATATCCCTTTAATAGAGAAAAGTAAGATAGCACTTTACTGGAATATTGGGTAAGGTCTGAAAAGAGGCGAGCAGAGAATTACCAAAACACACTCACACTGGGTGAGTGACGTTCAATAAATCCCACTAGGACCGCACTATGGGCGACTAACACCCGGTGCCATCATCATTCGGATGAGAAATAGGAAACGAATTAAGGAAACAACGATGCCCATGGGAAACCGTAAAAACTAAAATAACTTTGGTTTTTAGGGTTATTATCATCATCTTTAAAAGTTGGTGAGATCAGTTAGAGTGGCAAAGCTGCAGGTTATTGATTGGGGATTGCAAATTCTAGACTAGAAACAAACTCAGAATAGTGATAGAATGGAGGTGGAAACTGAGGGCCCTATATGACATATAATGGCTCAACATGATGATGATGAACTAACACTTTAAGCAATCGTAAATCGATTAGTTTTGCTTACGCTGTGTAGTACTGTAGTTACTAGCGTCCTGTTGCGCCTCTCGTTTATCAATTCACTTTTTAGCGCGACAAGTCTGCAGTCACTCAGCAGTCAGAAGTACCACCGTCTCTTGGACTGATCTCCCCTGATTTGATCGTCCGAGACCGGGCGAGGAAAAACATCTCTAGTCAAGCGTTTTGTTTGTTATCTTTCCTAAGTACAAAGTGCATCTCATAACGTAACTGCTTAAACCTTCAACACTACACTACAGTTGCTTTGTTTTTAAAGAGAAAAACAATGGCTGGACCTTTGCGATTTGACGGAAAAGTTGTTTTGGTCACTGGTGCAGGAAACGGTAAGAATAAGATTCATAAATTAAATTAATCATAATGATAATCATTTACTTCATTTAGTTCATTTTACCTCTGACTCTGTATTACAGCAGTACTGATAGTGATATACTGTAAAATCTAGTCTCACTTAACTCTTTTGAGTCCCAGGGGGTTTGGCATCAGAGACCCAAGGGGTGGTAATGCAATTTTTAAATTTTTTAAATTTTTTTTACAAGTGATGAATACTAATTCAGCTGCCCTGCAACATCTACATCAGAGTTAGAGTGACCAGGGACTGTTGAGGAATAATATTTGAACACTGAACACTGCTACAACAAATAATTATAATTGTGTTAGTAAATAAATAGTTGGTATATCCTCTGATTAACGGTCCTAAATTATTGAGGCAGCAAATATACCCTAACAGGGCCTCAGTCATGTGTGAATTGCACACTTCCGTCGTCTTAAATTGTGCACTTCCGGCGACTTCCGCCACCGCCGAGAGTATCCCACACGCCACTCACGCAGAGTGGATTGTGGCTAAACTAGATGGCTGAGACTCACGAGCAGTAGCTACTGCATCGGCTCTCCTCCGAACTTCTACCCTCGCATTATGGCAGCCTGAAATATCCTTACGGGGCTCAGGCATATGTAAAATGCGAACTTTCTGCCAAGGAACAAATCACGGCAAAACTAAGATTACTTGACAGTGTCAAGAGATACAACATTGCAGACGATAGTAGCAGACGATAAAAGTGACCGTTGACAATGTCGTGCGTGTCTGCAGACAAAACTAGCAGACGATAATAGTGGCCATTGACAATTTTGAGACGTTACAGACGATGAACGCGATATGGCGGTAGACCATGCGCTCCCACGCAGATTAGCAATACTGTTCTTCCGATTGAGGATGTAGCAGCGGTAGATGTCATACTTGTTGGCATGCGCAAAACTCGATTAAACTCACCGCCGACGTATCCCCCGCGCCACTACGTGCGGCGCGGATGGGGGATAAACTAGATGCCTGGGACTCACGAGCAAATTAATTGGAGGAAGTTGCAGGAGATGCAGTAGCTGCTGCTCGTCAGTCCCAGCCATCTAGTTTACCCCCTATCCGCGCCACATGTAGCGGCGCGGGGGATGCGGTCAGCGGTGAGGCATAGTCACAGAAACAGATCCACAAGTAACATATTGCTGATACCCTGTTAGAGCGTTTGTTTCGTTATACGAAGCCGGCATCTTTTTAATAGAACTGAGCACCGTAAGGATATTTTATGGCCGCCGGGGTAGAAGTTCGGAGGAGAGCCCTGCATCTCCTGCAGCTTCCTTCAATAACAGGCACAAAAGATGGCGGCCAAAAACAGGGCCTCAGTCGCGTGTCAATTACGCACTTCCGACTAGCGCCACTGCCCATAGATTCCTGTGCCGCTCACGCGGTATGGATTGGGCTAAACTAGATGGCTGGGACTCACGAGCAAAGCTGCAGGAGATGCGGAAGCTGCTGCTCGTGAGTCCCAGCCATCTAGTTTAGCCCCAATCCATGGCAGTGGCAAGAAAACCGCAAATTAAGTCGCTGGAAGTGCAATTGACACGTGACTGAGGCTCTGTTAGGGTGTTTTGTGCCCGTTATTTGGAGGATAGCCTAAACATGAACCACATAGTAATGTATAAGTAAAATATTAACTTAATTTGTACATTAGATCTTGTTCCAGAGAAGCTTTTGTAGCATCACAACAGAGCACCGTTGTTTAGTAAAGAGAGTTGACTTTCCAAAACAATTAGACTCTTCCCACAAAATGAAGTTTATATGACACTAAATTTGCCTGTAATTTTGTAGCTATGTTCCTAAATAAAAGGGTAATAGCAATAACTGACACTGAAAAAAAAATTGCTTTTTTCACAATATTTATTCTCTTTGAACCAGCTGATTTTATCATCATCATAAGGTATATATTCAGACTATACCTCGTCAGAGTTTGACTCTGTCAGTGACTGAAACAAGTTTACTTTGCATCTTTCTCCATCTAATTTCAGTTCAATCTGATACATATGTGTTTTTATTAAATTTGAGGCTTCTACAGCCGTAAATCCTGTGGGATGTTTGTAAAATACTGATCGACTTAGTAACTCAGTAAACCTCTCAGGCATACTTATTTTAGGCTCTTAAGGACGTTTCCAAATAAAGCTGATAGTCAACGCATGTAGTATCGAACACAAGGAACTGGAGAGGAATTTTCAATTGTGCGTTTAGTATTTTTACGCTGTTCAGTGGCAAATTAATAACCTGTAAGTGTCATGCACCGATTTGGTCCCTGGGTAGTAACCAATTTGTGGGTGATGGGTTCCTTGGGATTCAAAGAGTTGATGGATGATGGATGCAATTTAAAAAAAAAAAAGTTTAAATGATAATTGTATTACATTAAATGCAGATTTATGATTTTTATGTGTGTGTGTGTAAATCTTGAGGGCGTAGTTTTATTGCCTGATGTTAACATAACTACAAACTCTATTGCTCTCCTGTTTCTGTAGTGTAGACTACACCTTTTCACTCCATATCTTTGTCTTTTTCTCTTCACCTTTTCTTCATTAACCATTGAAGATGGTATCGAGCATGCACTGCATAGTTCCAGTTTAAATTTTTTTTTTTTTTAGGTACAGAATTCAAAGCAAAAATTCTGTGATTGCAGGAAGTAAGGTCACCCTAGTATTAATAATGTATTGTCTACTAGCATGGGGTGTCCTGAAGGAATCCATACGCCTGGCACCACGCCTTCCACTGACTAGACAACCGTGGTTGTGACTGCATATCCAACAGCTTTTTGCTACATTCGGCCTAAGGTTTCTTTTAGGAGCAAGGAGAGGTTGCAGGGTGAGGGCGTGCCTCTTTGGTACTGGTCTTGACTGTAGAATCGTTATTTTTTTTTAGATCAGAAGAATTACCACCTGATTCACCCTGTCACCCCATAAGTAGAAGTACTCACACGGTTAGATCCCAGAGACTCCCAGAGGGGGAACAGCTAGTGTGCTTCAGTGCTTGAGAGACCTAACATTTAATATTTATAACAACATTCGCAGGTCTTACAAAATTATAAGAACAAAACAAATTAGCCTGCTAAATTTGATTAGACATGTAATTAATGATGGTCTTGTTATGGCTACCCAAAACAATTTAGCTAGCCTTAAATGATCAGAGTGGGCTGGTGGACATTCCTCATGCCTGGTCTGAAGGGTCATAATGCATTAGTTGTGTGTTATTGTGACAGATTACACTGGTAGTATCTGAAATAAATTAACTAAAGGCCTAGATGAAATAGGAACTAATGGAAAAAATAGCTGGATGATACATTTATTCTTGAAACTAATAGCACAGTAAGATAGGTAAATGTATATAATCTCTGAATGGTATAAACAAAGATATGAGGTGTGAGTATATTATTGTCATGTCTGTTCATTGTTCTTTGTGAAGAGAAGTGTGCGAAAAAACATGTATTATCCACTTTCATTCAGTATTTAGACGTAAAGAACATAAATTATCCGTGTTTATGTTCTTTATTGATGCAGAGAATATGTCCCAACACATAATCAGTTGTTGATTCTGACAGAAAATCATTTACTGCATAATTTACACTGACTATGCAGTTTTAGTTGAGCATCACTATTGCAGTTCTATTGGCTGAGTCAACAGAGTCATCAAGAAATAGTAAACTGGGTACAAAAACTAATCAAGGAACATGGCTTAGACATAGATATTCTGTTAGAAACCAAATATGTCAACTAACATCGCTGTCAATTTCCATTTGGGGAGGAACACTTTGTGATCCATTGCTTGGTGGGCAGCAGTGGCTATTATCATTCCGTGTCGATGTAAAAGCTCTTCAATGTCATCAGTCCACATTCTCCTATAGGGACCTCTTGCTTTCACATCAGATCTTTTTATGTGTAGCTCAAGCATGTTTGGATGTCTTAATAACGGTGCCAGTTGGCATATGAGCGCACTGGCTCACTGGCATCTTATTTAGATTTCCTGATCTGTTCTCCCTTCCTCAGAGAATGTACTAACTAGCTATTTAAATACAGAGATAGTAAGTAGAGTAAAGGAACTTGTCTATGACCTGAGGCATAATGGTATATGATGCTGGTCACATTTATACCAATCAAGCAACAAATGGCTTTTTTCATCAATATCACACTGGCTGCTTTTACTTCTTCTTCTTCTTCTTCTCTTCCACCTTGCACCTCATCGAAATGTCGGGGGAAGATGTAATGTTCGTTGATAAGCTCTGTCAAGAGCACTATTAAGACTGATGTTCATTTCTGTAAGGCTGTTCGTAATGCCATCACTCCATCTTTTCCGAGGTCTTCCACTCACTCTATACCCATTGTAACGTTTTAGTGTGGCTCACTGTGGCGGATAGTACCAGGGCATTCTTGTTAGGTGTCCAAACCACTTCATTTGTTGTTCTTTGATGACCTGTAAGACTGGCTTTATTCCTAGCATTCGTCTGATTTCATGATTTCGTATTCTGTCTTTCCTTGAAACTCCTGCAGCTCTTCTAAGGCATTTCATCTCTGTTGTCACAATTTTATGTTTATTGGAGGATGTGAGTGTCCACGTTTGGCATTGATAGCATAGTGTTGGCCAAAAAATAGTTCTGATAAGATTCACTTTAATACTCCGAGGTATCTGCTTGTGTGTCAACAGGGGAGATAGTTGACCCATTACTTGATTAGCTTTGGCACATCTGGAACTAATTTCTCTGTCCAGTCGGGTGTAAAAATTGCTCCCAAATACTTCAATTCCTCTGTTTGTCTCAGGGTGTTGTTTTTAAATTTAATTTCTAAATTGTCTGCTGCCCACAGTAATTCCTGCTAAAAGTTCAGTATATAAAAAAAAATTTTTTGTCAGTGAAACTTTTTTTTTTACAGGACACATCAGATGATACTTACATTCCCCCTGAACATGTTGTTAAGGCAACCAAAGAAGGAAAATAAGTCTTACTTATACTTTTAGTGTTACCTAGCTTTTTAAACTTTGCATATAACAGCAGTTTCACTATATTCCACCTCTTCCATTTATAAGTAAAGTACAAGAAAAGACTCTTTTCCATGCCTTCAGATATATTGGACCTATAGGATTAGACCTATATTGTATAGACCAAATTGACACGGGGTGGGTGATATGGCCAGCATCACGCTGGCAGCCTTTACTTCCCAGGACTACACTTAAACCCACTCTAGGCTGTGTCGACCTAAGAGTCAACGTCATTTTTTTTTTTTTAAAGTCTGGCTCCATCACAGCCTGAATCCACTACCTTCCAATCCGCAGGCAAGTATCTAGCCACCACACCATGTTAGCTCTCTCCTCCATTTATTTCACTTGTTAAATGTCCATGTTTAAACAAAATTTTGTTGAAAAGCTGCTGTTTGGGAATACATATTGAAACATGACTGTAAAAATCATTGTTTTAGATTGAAGTGCCACTGAGCCGTGTGCGGATACCAGTTTTCTAGAAGGGAGATAACAAATGCTGGAATATAATTAATGTGCAATCAAAACTCAAGTTGTGGAACAAGATTAAATCCCAGAAGTGAACAAACAACCAAAATGTTCCACCAGAGTTTACAGCTGGTGAATGTGAAGAATTTAGAAGTAAATGTGAAATAGTTTTCTCTTGAGCACTTTATGAGGCTCGGTGTCCTAAGAGTTAAAGTGTAATAATGAATTTACATTTATTTATATCTTTCTGATTTCTTGTAGGCTTGGGACGAGCTTATGCTTTAGCTTTTGCTGAGCGAGGAGCATCTGTTGTTGGTAAGCAAGACTTTATTTTTATTTTTAAATGTTTCATATAAATTTTATTAGGAATTTTTGTTTATAAAAATTTTATTTATTGTGATTCACTAGGTCGCATTTTATTATCCTTGCCGTTTTAGTGTGTTAAAGTTAGTTGTAATTCATTGAAAGAACATTGTAGAACCAACCAAGCATTTTTTGACAGTTTGTAATTTCATTAGACGGTGTTACATATAGTAGTTTCTTCTGAATGATACCACCGTCAAAGCCAGCACAAGGCAGTCAACTGCCACATCGCGAGCAGCTGTAATCAAGCCCAGCGCCTTGGAATTACAAAGTTCTTTCGCATTTCCTATGCCACAGGTGCCCGCTATACCTGTATACTTAAGTTATTTTTTTTTGTTTTGAAAAGCTTTAAGGGCAAGAGGATTGAGTTTGTTGCACTGGATTTAATCTCATGTGTCTCAGTTTTTCTCCATAGAGCAGCTGGTCACCCATGAAAGCACTGCACAAACTCCATAGTTTCAGCAGTGTCCTTCATAGATCTCTGAAACACCTGCACTTGTGAATCAAGGGGCAGAGTCCAAAATTGAACCCACAACCTTCAGAGTACATAGCAAATGGTTTCACCAAAGAGATCCCCGACTTATGTAATTTTTTTATGTTTATTAGATACTCACTTTCACTAACTTATCACCACTTGAGAATATCATTTTTTGTTTATCTATGTAAGAGAAACTTTGATTGTGCAGGTTTAGATTTTCCTTTTTACCATTCCAGTGATTGATTCCTTTCTGTACTTTTAATTTTGTGATATCTAAAACTATTCTGCGTAGGGACTTACAGACAAATATATTGTTTATGTTTGATTACTAGCTGTATCTGATAGTCTCTGTAGAATCTGTGATTAGTGAGGATGTCATAGTCCCTGTGGACAGATCCATAGGTGTTCTGATCTCCTATTCAGTAGCTCCCAAGTGTAAAATGACTGGTCTGTGTATCAGACATCTTGTGTCCTTACTAAAAAATGTAAGGTTGGCGGGAGAAAAGAAATGCAAACAGTGAAGTCCCTTTTCTACATTTTTCCTTGAGACAACTGCTGCTACAGTTAACTATTATACAGTCAGTGTCACTTTTCTAATACTACTATGAATCTCATTGGCTGATTTAGAATTCTGTGAGAAACTTAAGTTTTCACTGGTAGGTCTGATTCACTGTGTTTTAGTTTTCCTGAAATCTGAAATGAGTTTGTGTGAGCAGACTGGTGCAGTTACCTTTGTCTCAACTGGGTATAAGTGTACTATCTGTAGAGGGACTATGATACAAAGCACCCCATCTTCTCTTTTAGCTCAGAAATCACACCTGCAAAGGATCTTTCACTTTACTGTTTGAATTGGCTTTGGGGGTGGGAGGGGGGTGGGGGTGGCTCTGTAGTCATTTGCTTGTGTTCAAGCTTAGCCTAGTATCAGTCTGCCCTATTTTGGTAGTTTTGATTAACCTAACATTATATCTGATTGTTTTCTTCGTAGTGAATGATCTTGGTGGTAGTGCTTTTGGGGAAGGAAGAGGCTCTAAAGCAGCAGATGATGTGGTGAATGAGATTGTATCAAAGGGTGGTAAAGCTGTGGCTAATTACGGTAAGTGCTTAGTGAATGCTGCAAAGTTTTAATCGCTAATGAATTTTCTTGGAATCATAATATTGTGTTTATTTATCCTTTGGATTTGTTTTTAACATCGGCATTTCTTTTAATTCAGCGTTGATAAGGAATCTACAGAACGTGCTTTTTGTCCAAACCATTAAGAATTAACACATTGACTAATACATTGTTTTCTGTGAGAATGGCTTCACATAGCCAAGCCAGTAGCATAATCCTCAGGTCACATACCTGTGTCTAAACCTTTTATTGCAAACTACAAATGTGAGGTGTAAAAATGGCAGAGTCTCAGGCTACAGCAAATAGACCCAAGAAATCTTGCAGGCTCTACAGTAAAGCTGTTTTCACTGGCTACAAGCGTGGCCACCGCAATCAGCATGAGAAAACAGCCCTTCTGAAAACTGAAGTTAACACCAAAAATGAGACTGAGCATTACATGGACAAAAGATGCACTTATGTTTACAAGGCTAATAGGCTGACTGCATGCCCTGGCCATGACAAGCCTAGTCATCTGAGGGTTATCGGGCAAGGTCACACGCTGCCATATAAATAGTGGTACAGTGAGGGCAAAGTTCAAAATGTTGAGTAGATTAAAAAAAAAAAATATTATTGTCTTAATACGTGTTTACTTGGCAGTTAAATGTGACATCCATCTTCATATTAGGTGACCAGTAATAATCTTAGTATGCAGGTATTCTTTTACCAAACTTATGTTGTTTTCTAGATTCTAATTGAACTCTGTTTTGTGTTTTTTAAACTATAACTCAAATATTCTTTGGTGTATGTTAAGCATAACTTTTACTTTACACATATTCAAGGGATATCTCCATAAATATCTCAACTTATAGATCACACAGAGAATTTCAGTACAGTGCATGAACTCCATAGCACTCAAGTAAATCCAAATATGTGTACACCAGAACCACACATGCTAGAAATATTCATCCCGCAAGCGAATGTTTTTCAGTGTTTAAGTTTGTCCTACTGTTATTGTTTTATACTGTTGAGGGATTCAAGAAGTGTTTGCAGAGGCTCTCATAAAGTTCACTATCTTATAATCTGGACAAGTAAACTATCTTTTCTAACTTTAAAAAAAAAAAAAAAATCTGCAGTCTGGATCATTAGGCGAACCAAGTAACAGAAGAAAATTGTAACCTCTGAAGCTGTCCCCATCCTCAATAATTTATGAAAACATGAACAAGTTTGTATTATTTCTATGAAAATAAAATTCCTAGTATTGTAGGCTTTTATATTTCTTGTTGTTTGAGCATATGAGATATTAAATGTTTTCAGATTCTGTAGAAAATGGTGACAAAGTTGTGCAGACAGCTTTAGATGCATATGGAAGAATTGGTGAGTAAAGCAAATTTTCACATCCATAAAAAATATTTATGATACATTAGTTATATTACTGAGGTGCTCTGCATTTATATAATTTGCAAGACGGTGTGCCTGAAGAGAATCATACGTGTGTGTCTGACACCCCCCCCCCCCCCCCCCTTGATTCAAGAACCAACATCACAGCACTTGGGGCATTCCCATAAGCACTCCATCCCCATCTTCAGCCGCCAGTGAAGAGTTCCGATACTAATAATGCCAATAGCATTCTGATTAAACGTCCGTCTTGCCCTTCCTCTGAGCCTCGAGCATCTGCCAGAACCTCTCGTCACTCCCAGCTGCATCAATCTCACCAGACTGGTGATCCATCTGCTCCTCCGAACTGAACAAGCTCTCCCACAAGGCACTAACCATGTCTGCCTCATCATGCACCAGTCTTCCACCAAGCTGTGCAGAGCCAGCCAGTCTGTCCGCCTGTTCATTTCCCAACACACCAGCATAACCTGGTGAAAAATTCCAGACAATACTCCTCACCCGTGTCTTCCGCAGCGAGGCATGCCACTCTGCACAAAGCATGCCTGTCCTGATCTTCCTCGGCATTCTTTCTGAGTCAGTTACAATCACGATGTGTGTGTGTGTCGTGTTCTCTAGCTAGCGGAAGGCTGCAGTGACCGCCTTCACCTCCATTCTTAAGCTGGATGTTATGGTATCATATGCTAGGCTCTCCTGCACCAAATGTCAACCATTAACTTTTGCTAAGAAACCCAAAGCACTTCTTTTGCCTCTTGACACTGAACTGCAACCATCGGCAAACCAAGGATGTATCACATACATACCACTGGGGTGTCTCTGGTGCAACCCAGAATGACTCGCATTCATGCCAAAGACTCTTTGTATGCTACTATCTGATTTTTTTGTTTTTGTTTTTCAAATACCATTAGTAATTAATATTATGATGGTTTTTTGGGGGGTTTATTTAAACTGAAGTTTGTGGTTCTTGTACACATTATTTATCGAACTTTTTATTTATTTATTTTTTTAATTTATTGAAACATTTTTTTTCTTGTTTTGCAGATGTTGTGGTTAACAATGCTGGCATTTTAAGAGACAAGACATTTGCCAGGCTGAGTGAGGAAGACTGGGGTAAAACATTTTTCAACTGCTTTAAAAAAAAAATTAGAATGGACAATTTAAAATGTTTTGCAATGATTCCAAATGTGTCCAGACAGTTCATCGATGTGCCTTTATCACTTTATTCGCATTGTAAGCTGCATAAATAATATTTGCTGCTGAATTCATTCTATACCAAGTAACACCCCTTATGTTAATAGTTTTCTTCATAATCACATACAAATGTTAACTCTTTCTGAATTAAAACGTTTTGACATTATAGCAATAAACATATGGATTAATAATGGTCTGTAGCAGAGTAAAGATAGGCAACAGTAGTCCAAGACAGGTGAGGTTATTTTTTTGTTATTTTTGTTAATGCCAGCCTAATACAGACTTGCAAATTGCAATGCTTTTTGTCCACAGAAATACGTCCCCCATAAAATTCCATACGCCCATGATTTTTCATGTACAGTAGAACCTCACTTAACGAGTACCTCTCATAACGAGTAATTCGCATAACGAGCAAAATAAATTGTAAAAAATGACTTGCTTAACGAGCGACGTTTCGCATAACGAGTGGCGAGGAGAGGGGAAGTCCCGAATTGTGCGCATGTTACATCAATCTGTGATCAGCACTCGTTCCAGTTGTATCGTAGTGTCGCTTGTGATCACACATTTTCTCAAACCTGTGTTTTGTTGTGATATATGTACATGAATCCTCCAGGCCTACAAGATGACCTCCCTAAAAAATTTAATTTCCTCAAGATTCAGTTTCTGCCTCCCGACACCACTCCGTTACTCCAGCCCATGGACCAGCAAGTTATTTCTAACTTTAAGAAGCTTTACACTAAAGCACTTTTCGAGCATTGTTTTCAGGTGACTAAAGGGACCAACCTCATTCTCAAAGAGTTTTGAAAAAATCACTTCCACATCGTTGCCTGCCTCAAGATGATTGACACGGCGGGGGAAGGGGTTACCAAGACAACCCTAACTTCTGCTTGGAAGAAGCTTTGGCTGGAAAGCGTTGTCGATTTGTGACTTTGAGGGGTCCGAGACAGTACCTGCGGAACCTGTAGTCAACGAGATTGTGTCTTTGGCCACTATCATGGGATTGTAGGTGGATAACAGTGATATCGAAGAGCTTGTGGAAGAGCACAGCCAAGAGTGACCACCCAAGAGCTTATGGAATTGCATTGTGTTTCACAGCAAAAAGTTTGGAAGGAAAGTTTGTCAGAGGAGGAGGTAACAAAAAAGCAACAATCTTCTGGCGAAAAAAGAGAAATGCTGAAAGCATGGCAAACTGTTGCATCTTACATTGAGAAGCATCACCCTAATAAGGAAGTAGCTATGCGCGTTGCAAATTTATATAATGAAAATGCTGTGTCGCATTTTTGCAAAATTGTAAAGCGTCGGCAAAAACATATGTCTCTGGACATTTTTCTAGTAAACAAAAATAAATAATTCGCTATGTATCATAATTATTAAGGTATTTTTTTCTCCAAATCGAATTCGCATTCCCGGTGAGTTTATTCCGCGTTTGAAGAAAAGATGAAGATGATCCACTCTCGTTAACAATATGTATATCATTTTCTTTGAATAAACGTTACACAAAGCATTTTGGAGCATTTTTTTTTACATGGAACGCATTAACGTATTTTACATTTATTTCTATAAGAAATATTTTACGCATAACAAGTGTTTCACTTAACGAGTATGATTCTGGAACGAATTATTATGCTCGTTAAGCAAGGTTCCACTGTATAAATATTGTTTTATGTTGTGCTAAATAGAGCCCTAATAAAGTCATTTTATATCTTAGTGTTATCATATTCTTCTCCTGAAAGGTTAATAAATACTTTGTTATACTTTTTAGGGGGGGGGGGGGGGTCAAAAATATGTTTTCATTATGCTACACATAAGCTGTGCATCGAGATATGTTTAAGTCTTCTTCTTTTGTCAAAATCTGCTTGTGCCACTAGGCGTCGCAGTCTATCAGATGATCGGCAACCGAGCCAGGGCGCGCTCAGTCGCTTCGTATGCCGTGATGTTATGAAGTCTCAAGTTGTTCGTGACTCCTTCAATCCATATTCTTCTTGGTCTTCCCCTGCCTCTTGGTGTTTCGATTTTCATGTTGTATGCTCTTGATGCTGGCATCGTTGGTTCCATTCTCATTAGGTGACCAAACCATTTCATTCTTTGCTTCTCAATAAATTTAACGATGGGTATGGTTCCAATAGTTATTGTAATCACATCGTTTCTCACTCGATCTCTTCTGGTTTTATTCGCAGCCATTCTCAAACATCTCATTTCACAGGTGGTTAGTCTTCTCTCATGTTCTTTTGTTAATGTCCAAGTCTGACATTGATAACCTAATGTCGGTATAAAGATTGTATTTATAATTTGTCTTTTTATCTCAGCTGGGACAGCAGGGTGTTTTAAAATTGGGGCAAGCTGGTATGCGACATTGTTGGCTTGTTGGATTCTTGCTTCGATCTCTCTGTCTATTTTACCATTGAATGTAAAGATACTTCCCAAGTATTTAAATTCTTGAACTTGTTTTAGGCTGTGATCTAGAATCTTTATGTCGGTGGTCTGTTGTTCTCTACTTATGCTCATGACTTCTGTCTTTTCAGTATTGATCTTCATATGATGCTTGAGGCAACTGTCGTGTAGTAGGTTTATTTTGTAGTAGGCTCATTGAAGTCCTCCTGTTTATCGACATCTGTTGGTGTTATGTCTATTTTATTAATATTTATGTTTAAGTAATCTTTACTATATTTAGAAATACATGTGCTGAAAATGTGATATAAAAAAAGGAACAGGTAAAAAATGTAGCCTTTCGTTTGGGTGTTCCAGCTGTTAATATTAAAAGATTTTTTATTTTATTTTAAAGTAATCCTCTCAGGTTTAGAAGGATTTATGACAAAACTTTATAAACTTTTTGGTCATTAAAAAAACACTCATGCGCATGAGGCACATGATGCTACACCTAAAGTGACTTTTTAGAAATGTATTTAACATAAAACATCTTCACACACCCACACACACACAAATACAAAAATATAACGTTTCATAGAATCTCATGGTACACTTGTGTCCCATGATTGTGAAAGGACCATTTTCCATGCCTTCAGGCGTATTGGGCATATAGGGCTACACTTATATTTTATAAACCAATCGGTACCCAGTGGATGATGAGGTCAACATCACGCCGGCCGCCTTTACTTCCCAGGACTTTACCTGGTACCTATTTAAGGCTGGGCTTACCTGGGAGCCAGGGTTATTTTTGGAAAGAATAAAAAGTCAGGCTCCATCAGGACCTGAACCCACGAACTTGTGATCCATATGCCAGTGTCCAGCCACTACACCATGGCATCACCATGGTCATGAAAGAGATAAATTTTATTTCATTTTACTAGATCTAATTATGTGTGTTATTTCTTCAGACATTGTCCATCGAGTGCATTTGAAAGGATCTTTCCTTGTGACCAGAGCTGCTTGGCCCCACATGAGAAAGCAGGGTTTTGGAAGGTATGTGACTGTCAGAATAAACGTGTGGGTTCTGAGGCCCCATTTGGAGGGATGGGGGAATAGACCCATTGCCTCCTAACAAGCACATTGTAAAAGGCAACTAATTAGGGTGTTTACTTCAAAGTCAGAGTACATCCGCCTGAGAGATGAGAGGCCAACCTTCTGCATACAAATTAGCCAGATTTGTAAAAGGGTTGTGCAGACAAAACTCAAGTTCTTGAACAAGACTGAAGTCCAGAAATGGACGAACAAGCAGAACTTTCCATCAGAGTTTACAGCTTGTGAACTTCAAAAAGAATATACAGGTTGTATAATTAATTAAAGGAAAATGAAAGGCACAAAATGTTATTTCTTGCAGGTGACAGCTGATGACAGATTATTTCATTATCATCATCCTGCCATTATGTGACACATAGGACTCACACTCTTAGTAATCCATTCTGTTTTATCCTGTGCAGTACTTTTGATATCATTGATGATTTCTGTCCAGCACCCCCTGGTCTCTCTCAACAGCATTCATCCAAAGGTTTATTTTTTATGTTCTTGTTTCCTCAGTCTGTTTATCTTCCATTTCATTAACTGTTTATTGGTTCTTTGACCTTTTCTGCTCACAATATGCCCAGTATATTGCATCTTCTTTTTCTTATAACTATTGAAACAAGCAGCCATCCAGACATTTCTCTGATTTCTTCACCTTTCTTAAACTTGTCCCACTTAATGTTGATCAATTTCTTTAGGTGATTGCTTTTGAAAAATGCCTTTAACTTTTGTTCAGTGTCTTTAGTAGTTCTCCAACTGCCACAAATTAATTAGGTTAAATTAAAAAGTAACACAATATGCCAGTTAGTGGTAGAGGATAGACAGTGCACAAGAGCAGCAAATGCAGCCTGGTACAGATTAGCTTAAAGTAACACATTTAAGAACAAAACAAAGAAAAAAAATCTTGACAGCTTGGTATGTAACAGCTAGCATGGGCAGAATAAATTAAGAAAAATATGTGTCTACATCTTCTTCTTCGCATTCACCAGCTGTACACTCTGGTGGAAAGTTCTGGTTGCTCATCCACTACTGAACTGCAGTCCTGCTCCAGAACCTGAGTGTTGCGTGTGCATCAGTTTTACAGATCTCATTCTGTTGAACACAGACTGTTGGTTCCTTGCCTCTCCGGCAGATGCACTCCGACTTCAAAGGAAGCTCCCCAATTAGTCAACTCTTACGACATGCTTTTGGGGAGACAGTGGGTCTATTCTTGTTTTCCCCACAATGGGGCCCCGGAACCCACACGGGGGATGTGTTTACAGAAAACCTGTATGCAGCATATTGCTTGGTAGGGAGATATGAAAGCCCAGTGGTCAGTATATTGGAATCTTTCCCTCTTTCCAGTCTATAGTTTATTGTTGTGCTGTCAATCAGGTGCCGTCTCCACAGTGAAGGTTGGCTGCAATAGATCTCCAGCATGCTTTTCAGACTGCTGTCCATCCATCTCTTGATATTGTCCTCCCACTTGTATCTTTGCCTACCTCTTGCACTCCTGCCTTCGACCTTTCCCTCCAGTATGGTCTTCAAAGTGTATTATGCCATTTAATGTTGCCAAAATATCCCAGATGTCTCTCCCTTATTTTTTTCAGCAACTTTCTTCTCATTTGTTGTCCCCTCAGAACCTCTTCATTAGACTGTTTTTGTTTCCATGAAATTTGACCTATTGTTCTGTATGCCCACATTTCCAGAGACTCGGTTCGATTTTATAGTTACTTGTTCATTGTCCAAGTTTCTGCACCATATAGCAGGATTGGGTGTGCATAACATAACATGATTCAACTCATGTGTTCAGGCCCAGAAACAGTGACTTCCCTTCTCATTCATGAATTGCCGTGTCGAAGGGCTTGTCTTGTGTTGCAGGAGTGTCACACTTACTGACTGGCCAGCGATACAGTCCCAGATCATGCAGAACTAGCCCTAACCCCAACCCCCCCCCCCCCCCCTACATGCCACAATAGAGTGCAGCCTACGCCCCACAACTGCTTGCAGCCTATAATTCATGCTGCGTATAGTCGTGCGACCTAGGCTGCATGTAGTTGTGGGATGTAGACTACTCTCCCATGGGGTGAGGGGGGGGGGGGGGGGGGGGGTGTGGGCCAGTTCTGCAAGTTTTTCAATTGTTAAAAGCCCTCACACCCTGGAATATAAACACGGGATATCACTGGCCAGTGAGAAAAACTAGTAAAAAGCTGCATGTTGGTTGGCGGTCACCCATAACCTAATATTGTACTATAGGGAGGCATGGAAATAATAGCCCCTGGGGATGGAAAGTGTGGCTAGTAAAACCAGCTCACAATTGGAGCATATAATTTCAGGACCCTTGTTGTGATCACATGTATTGAATGGGCTTCTCAAACATTCAGCTTGTAATCCGTCTGCAATCATTTTCTCGTTTATCCCTATTTCCATCTTGATTTTCCCTCCAAGCAACATGGTCGGTGGCATTTTGTAATTGCTTGGTAATCATGTGTTCAAGTCCCCATCAAAGTTTAAATGTTTTATCTTCAAACTGATCTTGACTTCCAACTTAAATCTTTCCTACAATGGGAAACAGTTGAGGATCTAGAAGGGTAACAGCAGCTGTCCTGATATTTACCACATCACTTGTCAAGGGCCATTTGGTCTATACAGTTTTGTAGTTAGCACCGTACACCGAATGGTTAGGAAGGCTAGGTCTCATGCAAGAGATCCAAGTTCCAATCCTAGGTAAGATTAAAGATTTTTTTCTGTCTGGGGTAAAAATTCTAATACTAATCTGCAGAGTCTGTGGCAACAGCACTAGCCATGTGGCCCTAATCCTCAGGCTCAAAGACCCAACCTGCCAATGCCCCAGAATGGTAAATACATGCACTAATGGCAGTTTTTTTCCTTTGTGCCTTGTAACAAATATGTTAATGGTGTAATGGTGTAAAAGTGTCCCTTTTTGTGTTTGTGGATTGTTTGACTCAGATGTGGAAAATTTGCTTCTTGTCATTTAATAGGATCATCATGATCAGTTCTACATCTGGTATTTACGGCAACTTTGGCCAGGCAAACTACAGTGCTGCCAAACTTGGACTGGCTGGTCTCTCCAACACTTTATCTCTGGAAGGAGCCAAATATGGCATCTACTGCAACTGTGTTGCCCCTACTGCAGGATCTAGGCTTACTGAAACAATTATGCCTAAAGGTAACGTAAACATATTGTTTTAGTTTATTCAATTTGTAAACTTGTAAAATTTAGGACAAATTTCAAGGGAATGGCAAACAGATAAAAATGTGGATGGGTTGACAACATCTTATAAGTATAATTGAAATAAAAATACAGACCTGGTCTGAACCTCTCTTGATCATGTAGGATGACAACCATAGCTGCACAGTCATGGCATATGATGAGAAGGATGATGACTGATCTCTTTCAATGTTATTAAAACATATAAGAATGACTGTTTCTTTGTGTTGTTACTATTTATTTCTGGGTTCTCTGTTTCACACCACTGTATATGAGTATTAATATATTGTTTCGGGTTTACCACAGGCATGCAAGACAATTAGCAAGCTGGTAGGCTTGCAGGCTAGGGCGGAGGGAAGAAGAGCCATGGACCAGGCTCTTATTCTGAATGCCGTGTGAGAAGTAAAATGTTTGCGTTAACCAGGTTATATCTGTGATCTGCAACCATGACCAGACTGCAAGAACAGCAGGTTCAAAAGGGGTGTAGCCAGACGAGCAGTATGCCGGAAGCCAAAGAAGAATAAGAAACCGTCACAGAACTAGTGTTGTCAGCCGCTATACGGATTCACTGAGTGGGGGTCTGAGGACTTATGGAAGGAATGGTTCGATGTGCAATGAGAATAATCTGTCGACTAGCTAGTGGATTCAGTATTCATTGACAGTTTTACAGTCATTAAAAAAAATTTTTTTTAAATATGCAAAAAACCAGCATTAAGAAAATGTATTTATTTTTAACTTTTGATCTGGTTCAGAATAGATAAAGAGTCTGCTCAACATTTACACACATCTCTGGAAAATATTGCTAATCACTTATGAAGCTGGTCATATTTAGCTGATCACATACGAGTGTGGTCAGATTTAGTTAACCACATAAAAACTGGTAAGATTTAGTTAATCACACAAGAGGCTGGTAAGATTTAGTTAATCTGATAAGAAGCTGGTAAGATTTAGTTCATCTGATAAGAAGCTGGTTGAATTTAGTAACCACAAAAGAGGTTGGTCAGATTTAATTAACTACATAAGAGGCAGGTCAGATTTAGTTGCAATCTCATAAGAGGCCGGTTAGATTTAATAACCACAAAAGAGGTTGGTCAGATTTAGTTAACCACATAAGAGGCTGGTAAGATTTGATTAACCACAAAGGAGGCTGGTCAGATTTGGTTAACCATGTAAGAGGCTGGTCAGATTCATGAAACCGCATGAGAAGCTGGTCAAATTCAGGTAAACCATCTGAATGGCTATTGATATTTAGCTAACCACATGATGAAATTGTAATTTGTATCTATTAGAGAGGCGGAAAACATGACTGTTCTAAAAAGTTCTGTAATGAATCACTGAGACAAGAAGATCTGTGGAGACTACATTAATTTGATTCTTTGAATCAGTTAAAACATCTTATTTACAGAGAAATAAGATTTATTCAAATGATTTGAAATATGTGAAAATAGGAACTATTTAAAATATCATTATACTGTTGACAAATAGAAAGACTTCTGCATCTTACCTCTCTAATCTAATCTCTTTGACAATCTGCTTTAAGCATTATGGTTATATTTTTGTAAAAATGTCTGCTCAACTTTTTCTATACCGAGAAGGTTCAGCATCCGAGGACCAAGCAGTGATAATGACATTTGGCAAGCGTAGAACATTAAAACAGGCCATGCAAATACAGCTGCTGGGCAACATACAGGTATTATACATAAAAGGGACCAGGGGATGTTATCGAAGGATATTAAAATGCTTCTATCCAAATTAGTGTTAGTAGTTAAATATTAGTAAATAAACTGACAACATGTTTAGAGAAGTTGTTAGTCTAATGAATAAAACAAATTTCTACTTACCGCCAACGCACTCAAGGGAAACTTGCTAAAATATCTTAAATAAAACACTGTAAAACTTGAATCACTTAGTAATATGTAAAAACAAAATGAAGGATTAGATTTTACCCAGGGCAATTTTTGTGATATCACACAGCACTATTATTTGGTCCAAAGAACAGTTTTCCAAAGCTTCACACAGAAAAAACTTGTTAACTCTCAAATTGTCCATAATTTTGAAACTTTGCTCCTAAATAAGGTGAAGAATAGCACTAGAATTAACTCACACTGAAGAAAATATGCTTTCCTATATTTGTATAGTCTTTTCTTTGTGCCAGCTGACTGCATCTTTGTACGCTTTTCATAAAATATAAAGCTCATGACTCATGAAATCTTGACTCTATAAATGACTGAGACTTGTCTATTTGACTACTTCCTTAATCTGAGTTTATATTTAAAAAACTGATTAATGCACTGTTGTATTTAAATGAGAGGCTTCTGAAGCCGTAAGTCACATTGGTGGGTGTGAAGACAGAGTGGCCATATTTTTGTGCAAACAGTTGCTTTCTAACTCAGCAGACCACAAAAGACTCTTGTTTTTGTTTTTAAGCATTTAAAACTAACCAGGCTGGTCTTTTAGGTAGTTATCAGAGAATGTATGTTGTGTTCCTTGGTATCGAAAGAGTTATTGACATACACACATGTATACATTCACACATGTACACACACACACACAAATAAAAGTTAAAAGCTTGGTGTCTCAAAAAGAGGATTTTGGAGTTGGCAGGAAAGTCAGTAAATCCATGTTAACTCTGTCAGACCCATGCAGTTTTTACTCTCTCTCTCTCTCTTATTCTGTCTTAGTAAATTGATCTTCAAAACAGTACAAGCAGTACATACTTCGTTCTAAAGGAGTTGAACACAGTCACCTATAGGATGCAAGTAAAAAATAAAGGACCCTTTTCCACACCTTTAGGCATTTAGGGCTAGACCTATATTTTATAAACCATTTGGCACTGGGTGGGTGATATGGTGAACATCACACTGGCTGCCTTTACTTCCTAGGACTGCACCTGCTGCCCACTTAAGGCTGGGTCGAACTGAGAGCCAAAGTCATTTTTTTAAATGTCCGGCTCCAACAGGACCCGAACCCCTGACCTTCAAATCCACAGGTAAGCGTCTAGCCGCCACACTGCTGCTGTTTTGGGATACAGGTAAGTTAACATTAATATGCAGGTCCAAAATGTTAACGTAACACCAGTCTGTGATAGAAGACAGCAAGAACATCAAGCAATCTTTAGAATGACCCCAACATTTTTAAGTATGTTGTTTGATAGAGTTAAATTGTCTACATCATCTCATGTCATGTTGATCCTCTGGTACCTTGCGATGTTGAGGTAAAGTATAATTTACGGGAAAGAGCCAGTTTATGTGCTTCATAAATTGGGATTCCCAGGGTCTCTGTGTCTATATGTGTGAGCATGCAGTTGACACAGATCATTGTTATTTACCATTTGTTAATGATCTAACTAATGCAGAGCTTGTTCAAGCCTTGAAACCAGAATATGTGGCACCAGTGATTGTGTACTTGTGCCACGAGAGCTGCAAGGAGACGGGAGGACTGTTTGAAGTTGGAGGCGGATGGGCGGCAAAATGTGAGTTTGTTTGAATTTTCTCACTTGAAAAGATAGCATGTCATAAACGATACTGCCATTGAGATATGACGGACTTACACCATTACATTACAGGGGCTGAAGTGGATATACTAGGACAGTGGTCTCCAACCTGTTGGGGGGGGGGCATGATGAAGTTTCAAAGAGTGAGGGGGGGGGGGGCATCAAGTAGTTTTGAAATTGAGCGCATTTGTATTTGTAATAATCCGTTATATTATTTTTTCAGTATAATTATAAATAAAATAAAATATTTTCTTAAAACTATTCATAAAACAAAAAGCCGATGTTTTTTTTGTTTCCCTTTTTATAAGCAGTTTTTATATCTATAGTTCAATATATAATTAATGCTAAATAAGGCATTCAAAGATTAAGAACACATTCTGACCAAACGTATCTCTATACTATCTGTTACTCTTGTTGCGGAATCTGTTGGCTCCCTATTTTTAATTACTCACATTTTGTTATTTTTCAGGGGAAGGCGGAGTCTTGCTATATACTCGGAGAGGGGGGAGGGGGACACCTGTGGGTCTTGCTATTTACACAAAGGTGGCGCAGGAGTCTTCTGCTATATACTAAAGGGGAGGGGGGGACCTTAAGTAGGTTGGAGATCACTGTCTAGGATATGTAGGTGTGCAAGGAGAAAAGAGGTGGATGTTTTGGCTACAAAAGCCGTAGCTACAAGAATACTCATACTGGACAAAACAAACCATGTGAAGACTATTTATGAACAATTGCTGATTAAAGACATGAGGTTGGATAAAATAGCATGTGTAAAAATTGGATCCAGAAAGAAGAGACATATGAGAGGAAGAGAATGACTAATATATAATCAATGTGCTAGGGAACAGTTAAGCGCGTATACCTTAAGACATTTGCTACAGGAGACGGAGCATCTGTGGATATGCTGGTGTGATGTAATGTTGATTCTATCATCAGTATTCAAATGTGGAATTGCTAGTTCCCTTTAATGACTTTTTCTTCCCAGACAATTGACAGAAAATTATGGAAGTTATCTGGTATCCAGCTAGTGTAGCTGTGTTGACCCGGAGCCACACTGATCATAAAAATCCTCCCAATTCTAAGAACTGAACCTGGACCACTGGCACAGCTGGCCAGTGCACTAATCAGATGTATTACCAGAGCTAAAAAAATGTGATTGCAGATGCTGAAAATGTAACAGATTGATTATACTTAACAGCCATGGTAGTCTATGTACAGTTGGCCAGTTAGTAAAAATAAAATATGTGAAATATGCAGAGATGTGGTTTTAAAGACGGATGATGAGAATACCCTGGACAGATAAAAAGAGTCAAGAAGATATCTTGAAAAATAAAATGACTCACAAAGAGAATTGATTGCTCACATTCTTTGGTCATGTCATGGAAAGAAGAAAACTGGGCTGCCACATGACTTGGACTGTAAAAAGTCTACATAAAAATATTTACCCATATTTACTGTCTTCTTCTTCTTATAGTCCATGGTGTGTGGCATGTGATTCCATATATTTGTAGTTAGGAACAATTATTATTTATAATCATTATTTTATTTCACATCATTAGTGCGCTGGCAAAGAAGTGAAGGAGCAGTCCTGAGAGATAAAAATGACCTGTTCTCTGCGGAAAGTGGTATGTACATTTTTAAGAGATAAACATGCATTCCTAATTAATAATTATATTCTCCATATTGTCATTGCTTTTATTTATTGTACTTTCTTGAAAAAAATTTGTTCTGAATAAATAGATAAATGGCCTCACTGCCATAACATTATTGTATTTTGTTAAGTGTATATTATCTTAACCATCCAACAATCATTAGGTGGTGTGTCACTTTCGAGGTATTTTTTTTTCCCCTCCTTCTCGTTTTCATTTTTCTGCTCTATATATAGTTATATGGTAAGGCGCAGTGGTCTAGCGGCTAGACGCTCGCCTGAGAATCGGAGAGTCGTGGGTTCAGACTTTTTTCAAAAATGTCCTTAGCCCTCAGGTCGACTCGGCCTTGAGTGGGTACCAAGTGCAGTCCTGTGAAGTGAAGGCTGACCACATCACCCTCCAAGTGTCATTTGGTCTGTAAAATATAGGTCTAGCCCTAAATACCCAATATGCTGAAAGGCGGGGAAAGGGGTCCTTTACTTTACTTTGTATAGTTATATAGCGCTGTATATGACTGTTGGCTGAAAAGAGGGAAAGATGCCAACAGACAGACAGACAACAAGCAAACACTAAGAAATAATTTCTGACATGTTTTTGTTTGATTTCCCCAGTGAGAGATAACTGGAGCAAAGTTGTAGATTTCGCCAATTATACAACTCCAAAATCTAATCAAGGTATGAAACTTTGATCTTTGTTGTTAAATGATTCTCATGTCTCTTCCTTAGCTTTTTAAGATACAGCATGAGATTTCTGTATAGATCTGTTATAGTCATCAGTATTTTAAAAATTTGAATTTCCTTTCAGTATATACCTATATATAGAGTTTTTGTCAGAGGTAGAATTGTACATCCTACTAACCTGCACAGTTCTTTTCAACTCATTAGCCATAAGATCCTGAATCCTTTTTTCTCTCCCCCCCATCCTACATTGCCCTCCTAAAATGTAGTCCTAATTGCAATAGATACACTTTTAAAAACAAAATACCTATATGTTGCTATGAGTTTAGTCTATAGAAGTGGCAGAATTTTCCAACCAATGTGACTCTGAAGTCATTCCAGTTTCATACAAATAGGTTCTAGAGAATTTCCTGGGAAGAAAAGGCTATGAGGAAGGGTTATTAACAGTTTGATTATATAAAAAGAAACCTTCTATGAAGTACATTATTAAAACTTATCCTTCATCATTATTGATTTACATTTACACTGCTGAGTTTGCTAGTTCTGCAACACTCAACAATACGAGTATTTTTAGTCAGCTAAATAATATATTTAGTTGATAGATCATAACTAAACATCATGGAAGATTGGCTAATAAACAGCATCCTGTCTCGGAAGCTTAAATATTTTGGTCATATCAAGCGTCACGACAAACGAAAAAATTATAGCCGAAGGCATGGTACCAGGAAGGAGGGGCAGGGGCCGACCAACACGAAGATAAGCTCATGAAGATGGGCTCAGGATATAAATGACTCCTTGAGTATGAAAGTGCACGAGGCGGGAGAGCTGGCGAGAGACCGAGTTTCTTTCAGGCAGACTGTGATGAGAGCGATGTTCTGCAAAGGACCTGCTACATGATAATGATGATAGATCATCCTGATTGGACATGCCATTTAGTCCACGTCTTCCATTCTCATCCACACAAAATCCCACAGCGTGGAGCAGTTGACAGCACCAGTTTAGTCAGTTTATTATTCTTGGTTTCAAGCTTAAGGATCATGTCTCCCCCCCCCTTCCCCCCCCCCCCCCCCCCCCCCAATTAAATCACCTTAATAGAGTTCTATTATATTTTTTTGTCAGTTTTGCTCTTATGCAGGACCACTAAAAAACATCATGTGAATGGCCTTATCACATGCCCTGAGTCTGTTAGTTCACACTTTATGAATCACAGTTCCTCGTTTGGGTTCCGAGGCCCCATTAGCAGGAAAAAACAAGAATAGACCCACTGCTTCCCCAACAATTATGTCATAGGAGTTGTCTAACTGGGGACTCCCTTCAAAGTCGCAGTGTGTCTGCAGTAAAATGGATGTACACGCAGCATTCAGGCCCTGGCATAAAGCCAGAGTTCAAATGGATGGACAGCCAGGACTTTCCATAGGAGCTTACAGCCGACAAACAAAGAAGAAAAATAATAATCAAAGTTCTCAGCAGATGCCTGCACTCTGAAAAATGACCATGCAATATCTTTAATTCCCAAACATGACCATCATCTGGTATGGTCTTGGAAAACTTTCTGGATATTTAAGAGCTTTTAGATTATAAACAGTTATTTAACATGTAGAGATATAATTAAAATATATTTAATATTGTTATGGTATGTATAAAACTCCGGCCACTTACAAGTCAATAATATGAAAATTAAACGAACGGAAACATATAAGTACGTGGGTGCAAACTTCAACTGCTCCAACATGCTGAGAGAGGAAATACTATCTAGAATACAATCTGAAACTAAAGTATACTATGCCCTTCAACATCTGCTAAAGTCAAAGTGTCTGTCTCGCAACACCACAATCAAAATATATAAAATGTTGATAAGACCAGTCATTTGATATGGCTTCAAAACTTGGAGCACAACTAAAAGAGATGAAGCCTTATTACAGGTTTGTGAAAACAGTCTTATGACGAATCTTTGGACCCATCAAAGATGCAAACAGTTGGGAATGGATAGTGAGAAGCAGTAACGAAATTCATAATCTGTTTAAATCACCACCGATCACTGGCATCATGAGATCTAATAGACTGAAATGGTTGGGGCATATTGAAAGAATGTCAGATGACCGAGAAGTAATAACTGTATGCACAAGGGAGATGAATGGTAATAGACCACGAGGCAGACCAAGAAGAATATGGAGAGATAATGTCTAGACAGACTTGCAAAACTTGGTTTCACCAACTGGAAAGAAAAGACCAACCGAAGACATGAATGGAGGTGGGTGATATCTGCAGCAAGAACCTCAAGGGCTCGGAATGCTGAAGAAGAAGAAGCTATGGCATGTTATTTGGCACATCCTAATTTATTTGTCTTCTGTGTGATTGACAAAATATGTTTATATACATTTAAAAGATTTAAATGCATTTACTGGTTTTGCAGAGGCAACTGGACATATAATGAACCTAGTTAATAAATTTGATCAAGAAAAGAAAGAAGCACAGGTGGCGGCTGATTCAAAAGATCCTGTTGTAAGTGGTATATGTTGCTTGCAGTTTGTGTATATGGGAAAACTGTCATCTGTAGGGTTTTAATATGAAATGGTTATACTTGGATATTATTTTTATAACCTGGAAAGTGAAAACTGGAATATGTCTCCTATTACTTTGTCTATGTTCCCATTTTTCTTAAATTATAAACAATCAATCTAGGCATTTGCAGTAAAGCAAACCAAGTATTGGGACAGCTAGCCCCCCTCTTACAGCATAAGACAATCCCAATCAGCACAAAGAGACATCTTATTCAAAGCATATTTATTCCAACCCTGTGCTACCAGTGCCAGACATGGTCACTCACAACAAACCATAAAAGAAAATTAGTAACCACGGAAATGAGATGTCTGAGAAGGGCTGTAGGAGTGACCATAAGAGATAAGATCAGGAATGAGATCATAAGAGAACAAGTCGGCACAGAACCGATTCTGGATTACATACAAAGACAGCAAGTGAAATGGTTTGCCCACTTAGAGAGAATGCCTTGTGACACCATACCATACAAAGCATACATGGAAAGAGAAGAAGGACGTAGAGCAAGGGGTAGACCAAGAACAAGATGGAAGGATAACATCAGAGAAACTCTACAACAGCACGATGTGCCTATGGTCGAGGCAGCCAGAAGAGCTAGAAACAGAACCTTATATCTCCCTCGACACCCACAGCGGTAAAAGAGGAAGTGAAGAAGAAGAAGAAGAATCTAGGCATTCTAAACCCAGCAGGTTTCAATATTTAGCTGTCTTTCATCTTATGTATGTCTGTGTGTGTGTGCATTAATGCTAGGCTCAGCGCCACAGAGGGGAAACAATGTGGCTTTAGGCCTGCTTCCCATATGGTGACTGCACTACTCATGTGGCCCTGAATCCTCAGGCTATAGGACCCCTCTGTCATGCTCCACCCTAAAAAGTTGTGAATATAGCAAAAGTCTAGATTTTTTTTCACAATTTTTTTTTTTTTTTGGGGGGGGAGCATTTTTTTTAAAATATACTGTTAAAAAAAATAGAGGCATAGTTATTCTATGACGCTTTAATACTAAAAAAAAAACACACACACACACAACAACAACAGCTACTGAAAGGAGCATAATTCTGACATTCAAAATCTTTGTAATTTAGTTCCAATGGCACACAAGAATACTTATTGGTTCAGCCAATCAGTTAACAGTTCTTTTCCATCTAGGTCATTGATAATTTTTGGGTATATGGGTTTTCCCATCAAAAACACACCATTGGATAACTATGCCTTTCTTATTTTTCAGCAGGTAAGCACCACTGGATAACTTTTTTTTTTAAATATTAAAATTGTTTGGTTTTAATAACAGTGACTTTCACACAGGTTAGTGAGCAGTATATCTCATAGTGAGGTTAATTCTGTATTATCAGTATGTTTTTTACCTCATACGTATAATTTGATTCTGCTAGTGTTACAATGTGTGGGTTCTTGGAATTTTTCTGCCAGCATATTTAATCACGCATGAAGTTATTTTATTTTCAACACAGGCCTTAGCAAAATCATTCAGAGCAGAACCAGCCACATTTTCATACACAGAAAAAGATGCAATACTGTATGCTTTGGGAGGTTAGTCATTTTTTTTTATTTTTCAAATATGGAACTTTAAAATATAAATGAGTACAATTTTTACTGACACCTCTGGGGGGTTGTCGTTGGAGTTATGATGTTTGTACTTTGTGCAGTGCTCTCGTCAGGTGGCTAGTCATTCTGTGGAGAGAGGCTAAGCCAGATGGGGTCAACCCTGTGCAGTGAAGTCGATCCCCTTGACTTTAACCTTTAACTTTGACTTTTGGAAGTCCGGTATAACTTTTAGCTTCTCGTTGAACTATGTGGTAAAAGATCATGTTTGTATACTGAGAGTATAAACTTCGTTGTGTTTATTATTGGCTCTATTCTGAAAGATATGTCATCTTCAGGATCTTTATCCTTAAATAAATATAATTGTATGTACAAAAAATCAATTTTCCATTGTTCTTCGGTAGTTCAGTGTGTCCACTGCTATGATTGGTACTAGTTACAAAAACTGAGCTAACCCTTTTATCTAATGACATAAAGCTTCAGTGGGTTATCAGCATTTTCAGTCTACCATTGTAGGGTAAAACTTAGCAATGTTTTATTAGCAGGATTACAATTTTACCCATGATGTGAGAATGGGCCATGAACATTAGAGCTTGTACTACTGGCTGATGGTTTCTGAACAATGCATCTGGCTGTCAACTTTATCTGGAGATTCTCTACCAGTTTGTTTTCATACTCCTTGTAGACCATGTGTCTGTGATGTGTGGTGTAGACATATGCTAGAAGTATTACTTGAGTTTCCATAGAACCAGTAGGGAAAATATGACAGAGCTTATCCCATATTTGCCCTGGGGCTAGCTGACATTCACAGTGATAAAGTACAAGACAACACTTGTACTTAACAATACTGTTCTCTTTTTGTTTCAGTCACATAACACCAGCTGATGCCCATAGTGAGTGGTAATGTAGTGACCAAAGCCACATGAGTATTACTTTCACAGGGAGGAAATATGTACACCTGCAGTTATGTAAAGTTTGAACTAAGTTATTCCAAAGCAGTGTTTCCCCATTGTAAATTTGAACAAAGAAGACACAAACAGTAGATTGCATAATTTATTGCCTGGCATATTTCGCTGTATCTCATCAGGTGCATACTACAGTAACAATAACTGAAGCAAATAAGTGAATCCTTTATAACTCAAGTACAATTTCAACAACCATCAAACATGACTGCCTGTTTTTACCATGGTGACTAAAGACAAATCATTTAAAATCCTTCATACGTCAACCAATGGCAGAACGCTAAGATTTCTCGAAGCTTCTGCGATTCGTCACCTGCGCCCGGAACTCTGTATTCAGAAAGATATGGTTCTGTCTTTACGGCTGCCCTGCTAAAAACAGGCAGTTATGTTTGATTGTTGTTGAAATTGTACTTCAGTTATAAAGGATTCACTTATATGCTTCATTTATGTAATTGTTAAGTTATTCCAGTTAAATACGGTTAAACAAATATTAGAATCAAACACTAATTAAAACACTAATTCAACTTTGTATTTTGTTAGTGGGAGTGTCCACGGTTCAAAGTGACTATCTGAAGTTCTTGTTTGAGCTGTCTGAGGAGTTTACAGTCCTTCCTACTTTTGGAGTCATTCCAGCATTTACTTGCCTTTTTGAGTTAACCTTAAAGGGTCTGCCTGGCTTTAAGATAGACCCTACAAAGGTTGGTGACTATATAAGAAATATCATATTTAAAAATACTTTTGCACTGGAAATGTTTTGTTTTATATGGCTGTGAAACTTGAAGCACAGCTAAAAGAGATGAAGATTTGTTACACAGTTTTAAAACAGAGTGTTACATAGAATCTTTGGACCCATTAAAGATGCAATCAGCAGGGAATAGAGAGTGAGAAGAAACAACAAAATTCATGATCTGTTTAAATCAGTATTGATCAATGGCATCATGAGGGCTAATAGACTGAAATGGCTGGGGCACATTGAAAGACTGTCAGATGACAAGAAAGATCAAATCTGTGTACACAATCTTGTTGAATGGTCGTAGACCACGAGGCAGACCAAGAAGTCAGTGGAGAGATAATATACTGGCAGACCTGCAAACACTTGTCACCAACTGGAAAGAGATGACTAATCATAGAGATGAATGGAGGCAGGTGATATCTGCAGCAGTGAACCTCAGGGGCTTGGAATGCTGAAAAAAACATTTAGTATAATGTCCAGTGTCAAGGACAACACTCCAGAAAGCTTTTTAATACAAGTAAATAAATGGCCAGGATGGTGCTGTCTAAATGACCCCCATATGTTTCATATGGTCACTAAAAATGTGGGTTTATTGCAACATCCTCAGTTTTCTTTAACTCTTTCAGTCCAAGGGATTTTTAGCATCAGAGGCTCAAAAACTGGTAAAGGGAGACATAAATGGCTATTCTTGTGTTCATTGAGCTTCTAGGCAGGTACCTATTAACGTATGATGAGTTCTTTGGGATTGAAAGAGCTATGAATATGTGAACAGGTTTACTTCATATTTTTTTTTAAACATTGACTGATTTTGTCAATGATAATCTTCCAGGTTCTACATGGGGAACAGTATCTGGAGTTACTGAAACCTCTCCCTCGCAAAGGTCGCCTAACATCAAAATTATCTGTTGCTGATATCTTAGACAAGAAATCTGGAGCAGTAATTCTATATAATGGTAGTATATTTGTCTACTTTCCTGTGTTCATCAGCTAATCTGCTAATTGCATTTCATATATATGATTACTTTGACCTGAACTAGAAATTTTACTGTAAATAAGATACAGCCACATATGATGGTGCAAGACCAGGGCTGTTACTGGTATAGGCATATCTGCAACTATGCACAGTCTTCCTAGAAACAAGTTCTCAGCCGGGAGTCTAGCCAACTTAGATAACTTAAATAGTTGAAGTTGGAGTACGTCTGCCTGAGAGGCAAGGAACCAGCAGTCTGAAAACAAAAAAAGCAAGATCTGTAAAACGGATGTGCATGCAAGACTCAGGTCCTGGAACAAGACTGGCGTCCAAAGTGAATGAATTATAAGAACTTTCTTCTATAGTTTACAACCCGTGAACACAATGAAAAATAAGTACTGTAAATGAACATTTATTATAAAGCACACATTATAGCAGGGCTAAAATAAACAGCATAGCAGGGCTGTTCAACTGGCGGTCCGCACGCCAGATTTAACCAATGGAGGCCTGGCATGTGGCCTGCGGATCATTGCTAGTTGTATTGTATTAATGATCTTTCTATGCTGGGCTTAGACCTCTGGTCCATTTTGAGTAAACTTGGTTGAACAGCCCTGCAGTTTAGCATTTGTATGAAGAACATTTGCAACTCTGATGATGCTACATGCAATACACACAAATTTTATGTCAGTGATTTGAGAGTAAATGAGAAAGTTAAAAAGTTACACCAGTAACGTTGGTTTCCCAAGTTTACTACCACATATTGATTCTGAAATTTCAAAGACAAAGTCAGTCATTCGAATAGGAAACATTTATTGCAAACATTTTTCTTATTACTTTGTTTATGGGTGAATGTAAATGGCATTTATGCATGTATCTGTGTGTATGCATGCATAAATCTTAATCTATATATAAGGCATCTGTGTTTATGTGTAGATGTTTTATTTTTTATATGACCCTCAACCAACTTCTGCCATTTGTATTTTTTTCAGAATTATGTTATATAGGTACAATTTTCTATAGATTGAGGCAGTCATTATCTCACCAGTCCTCTTTGGTTACCTCTTATGACATGCATGGCAAGTGTTACTATGTACTTCCCTTATAAGGCTCATTACTAAACGGACAGCAACTATCGTTAACTCTCAGATAAGTTTTTTTTTTTTTTTTATCCTAGACATAAACTTCAGCTTGTTAATAATCTTAATTTGTTAAGCAGTGTGTTTAAATATGGACTTCATTGGTCTGTCAACAGTTGAGACATTTGATGAGAAAAATGAGAAGGTTGCCTTCAATCAGTTCACAACATTTGCTGTGGGAGCTGGAAACTTTGGAGGCCCCAGTAAATCCACTGCTGCAGTGCCTCTTGTGGATCCTCCTTCTCGGGCTCCTGATGCTGTGATACAACAAAAAACTTCTGTGGATCAGGTAAAAAAGAAAACAAATGTTTTCACTGACATTTTTTTCTTACAAAACGATTCATTCAAATTCAGAACGAAATGTTTAAGAAAATCTCCTAGTCTTACTGTACTGGAAAATTATTTCATTAGATATAACTTGGACACCAGTTAGCTGCAATAGATTTATTCGGCCACAAAGTTGTTTGCTTATTCTGTGAAGATGAAGCCCAGTGGTTAATGATTTGCATCGACAGTTGAAGAAAATATGTATTTGTAATTTGAGAAACAAAAATATAATTTATTACCCAAATGCAAACTTAATGCACTTCAATTGGCACCTTTAGCTAAAAATCATAAACCACTAGTTCGCTTCCTCCACACCAATAAATGAAGATCAAAATTCTTTGCCTAGTTTAGTATAGATAATAAGTCATTTGATTTATTCAGTACATGTGTATCTGAAGAATAACAACAGCGAATTATGTGACAGATTTCCTCCAAATTCCTGGTCTATTGAGGCAGCAATATTCTCTTTGCAGTTCTGATTGCTGATCAAAGATTACTTCATGTCAACTATTGACTGATAGTTGTAAATGTATTGATTAATTTTCATATTTGTCTGTATATGGCAGGATTATCAATTGTTTATAATTCCTCAAAACTCTTCGCTTTCTTGTGTTCTTGATAGTGACAGTTTAAGAGGGTTGACTTCATTGCACCAGGCTTGATCCTATATGGCTTAGTTTCTTTCCTCATAATAGCTAGCCGCCTGCCAGAAAGGTTACACAAAACACAAACTGTACCTCCATTAACGATCCAAAGGATCACAATTTAAAAAACAAACAAAAAAACTCTGGAACTGAATGCTGCATTCGTAAAAAGAATCAATGACTTTTAGAGCATGAGATGAACAGCTTGACCACCTTACCATGGAGACTCCTTTTAGTATTGTGTTGCACCAAATACTTCTTATTTTTATGTTTTATATGACAAAACTAGTGAAGAGGTGAAGAAAAGATGCTGGTGTTGGATTGGACACTCCTCGTGTGAGTTCCAGGGTCCCTATTAGGGGAAAGCAAGAATAGACCACCTGCCGTAGCAGTCGACTAATTGGGGGCTTCCTTCGAAGTCGGATGCATCTACCTGACGTCAAGGAACAACCAGCTGCACACAAATAAGAAGAAGAAGAAGAAGAATGTCTCTACACTGGAACCTACAGGGGCATAGAAATATAGGCAGACCAAAAACACATGGAGAATGGAGCTACAGAGTGAAGTTAAAAAGATGGTAAGGATATGGATGAACTGCATGTGATAGATTGTAGAGAACAGGATGGTTTGATGTGAGTTGGTTGAGGGCCTATGCTTTGCTGGGGGGATAACATGAAGAAAAAGAAGAAGAAGGGGATTACAGGATAGGACAGTTTTTCAGGTGTAGGCCATAAATCTGTTAGGAGTTGTGATAAATATCGTTATTATCTTCAGGCTGCATTGTACAGGCTGAGTGGTGATCCAAATCCACTGCACATTGATCCAAGCTTTGCTGCCATGGGAGGTAAGCATTAGTCTACAGATGTTATATATATATATTTGTCATTTTATATACATGTGTGTGTGTTTTGCATTAGTTAAGGAAATAACTAAAGGACCCTTTTTTTTTAAATCAAACACCAGTGACGCATCGGGCATGTGACGTTTGACTCATATATGTAGACCAGTTGGTATTTGGTAGATGATGATGTAAGCATCACACCGGTCACCTTTACCTCCGGGAAAATTACCTGTTTTCAATATTAGGCTGTGCCAAACTGGGAGCAATGGCCAGTTTTGTGTAGATTCAAACCCAGTACTTCCAGGCCTGCAGATGTCTCCAACTTTGAGAAAACACCCCTTATTAGTCGACTTTTGCGACAAGCTTGTTAGAGGCAGTGGGTTTGTTCCTTTTTTTTACCATTACGACAGTGGCCCGGAATCAACATGGGGAGGCTCTCGATCAGGAGAATAGTAAATATAAAGTTATCTATGATTTCAGATAAAACCATTGTTGTGTCTGCTTCTAGGTTTCAAATCTCCAATTCTACATGGTCTTTGTAGCTTTGGCTATGCTGTCAGGCATGTCATGGCCACATTTGCAGACAATGACATGAGCAGGTTTAAATCGGTCAAGGTAAGTTACTTCTTTCAGTATTCGTTGCTGCATTTACATTTGTTAAGTTTTAAGTCTGTTCCGCTAAGGACATCCTCTATGGTGAATTAAAGACTGGTAGAAGATGCCGAGGCCGACCTTTATTACGATATAAAGATGTGTGCAAGCGAGACATGAATGATACAGGTATTGAGATGCACTCTTGTGGGAACAAAATGCCATGGACCGTCTTGTGTGGCAGGGGCACATCAGGAAGGGAATGAGAATGAAGGAAGAAATGATTCATAAAGGATGAGAGCTGAGTGTCAGAGAAGAAACAGACAAAACCCAAATGTTGACAACAGCAGCCCAGAAATCTCATGCTATAACTGTGAAAGACTTTTCTTAATGTGGATGGGTCTTGCTAGTCACACTCGCCATGGCCATGGGCTGTGAATCCCAAGCCTCCTCATTGCACAATATAACACTGTCATCTGGAAAGATGGAAGGGTGTCAATCAATAATTCTGTTGATGTCTTTAAAGACTGTACTAAGTAAAAGACTTATTATATAGGTACTGCTTTTAAAGAAATTGCAGCTTACTGGGAAATGCTTGTGTAAAGAAAGTGCATGCAATTAATATTTTTGTTAAATTCTTGTTTTCACTGATTATTTAATGTTATGTATCTGGAATCACACATTCAGGTGAGATTTTCCAAACCAGTTTTACCAGGCCAGACTCTTGAGACGCAGATGTGGAAGGAGGGCAGACGAATCCATTTTCAGACCAAGGTAATTTATCATGAGTAACTGTGAAAGCTGTTTGATTGTTTCATATGTATGTGTGAATTTCTCTGACTTACATGGCTTCAGAAAAAAAAATGTGTTTATATTTTAGAAAAATAATTGTTATGTACATATTAATTTTTTTTAACTAACTTTAGCATATAATGGGAGAATGTATACAGTTCGGAGGAGCAGATGGATCACCACAGTCTGGTGAGATTGATGCAGGGGGGAGTGACGAGAGGTTCTGGCAGATGCTCGAGGCTCAGAGGAAAGGCAAGACGGACATTTAATCAGATTGCTACTGGCACCATTAGTATCGGAACTCTTTACTGGCTGCTGAAGATGGGACAGAGCGCTAATGGGAATGCCCCGAGTGCTGTGATGTCGGTTCTTGAATCAGCGCAACTCAACTCAGCTAACTTTACCACAAAAGGCATAGTAACGCATACCCCAGTCTAATGGTGCCATGATGGAAACATCAATTCATGGTGTCAGCCAACTTTCCAAGTATTGTCAGGGATAGGAAATCTACCTTCTTGTTCCCTCTGAGTAAACCGAAAATAGTCTATTACCTCATAATGAAAGAAATAATGATACACAATTTATTTAACTACAGTCACCATTTTCAAGAATAAATAACAGTTAGCTGAATGTTAATTTTATTCTCACACGTGTTGGTCAGATAGATCAAATGTGGAGTACAGCATCAGTATTCCTTCCTCTTCCTTTAAAGTAAAAAAAAAAGGATGGTCAATCTTATATTATAAAGAGAAGTATCTGGGCAACAACTAGTATAACAAATTATAAGACAGCGAAGATTGCGGTATGTTGGGCACATTTTGAGAAGAGATGAAGAATCACCAAACAGGCATTGTAATGGGAAATAGAGGGATTGAGGAAACAAGAACATCCAAGAGAAACCCTACAGTCAATGCTGATGAGAGAGGCCAAAGATCCTGGTCTGGATCCCATCCATGATATCAAAGTGATTGCACAGAATAAAGCGGAATAGAGAAATAGACTGCAAGCCCTGTATAACAACAGAAGAATGAATTGTAGGTTATGTAAACAAAGTATCAGCTGGTTGTACAGTGTAACAACAGCGATCATTGTGATCTTTGAATTGCTGTTATAAAGATTCAATGCAATGATATATTATAGTTTTATATAAATAATGTCAAATGCATCAGACATAAAAAAAATTTAAAACAAAAGCAGCTAGGAGAAAGTGTGGCAGAGATATGATGGTGTCTTTCTCTGACTAAGAAGTTACTGATTTCAAATATCAGCATATCAGAAAGATTGTGCAGAATGTGACTTGTTTTTAAAAACAAAAACAAAATGTCTGCTGTACAAATTATTTTTGTTCTTAACGTAGGTAGTGGAGAATGGTAATGTGTGTATCTCTGGTGCTTATGTTGATCTAACTGATGGTCCAGTTGAAGCTAAGACAGCTGTACCACAGGTATGTGTGCCTACTTTTGTTTTTTTCAAAACCTCAACATTGATATTATTATAATGTAGCAAGTACTTTCTGCTGTTTCTTCCAGCTCATCAGATGTTCTGGTTGTCAGTTCTGGAGATTTTTTTTTCTGGTGAATTATGCATCAGTTTTAGTTTTGTATGAATAAAACTCTGGTTATACATAACGTGATATGCCTTCTCTATTGGACTCTGTATTTTATATCATCATCATCAGGTGCCTTGCCGACTGGCATGGGCGATCATGCCTCTCCACAATCTGGAATCTCCTGCAGCATGCATCAGTTCATGTGCGGACACACCTCCATGCCATGCAACAAGACTGTCAAAAATCTTCTCTCTCTGTGTCTTCCTTTATCTCTCCTTCCACAGATCTTTCCAGTGGTCACAACATGTTCTGTTTTCCCTGGTCGAAAAATGATGACTGTCTTCCTTCTGATGTCCCTGATAAGTTGTCTTTTATATATGATTTAATTTTCTTCAAGCGCAACGGTTTTGCTTTTTTCTGCTTCTTCTGGAAGAGACTCCTGCCATATTGATTGACTGAGTTGTTTTATTTTCTTTATTGGTTTGTCTTATTGGTTGGATTTTGTGGATAAAATTGTCTATGGAGTGAAGTAGTCAGTCTCATGCCGACCTTCTTTAGTTGCCTTTTATTATATGAATGAGTTATATATGAGTTATGTGGGTTATATATAATTTAGGTTATCTGTATGGCACTATGGACACTTTGAACACGTCCATGGGTGCTCAAATTCCCCCTCAACATGTACATCAGTGTCTCGCAGTTAACAGTGCCACTAATATGCTGGTTGACAAGTCTTTTCCTCTATCCATTGTGCTTACTGTGCCGATCTTTTCTCCCAGTTCTTGCATTCTTAGTAGAATCATGTATGCAACTTACTCCCCCCCTCCCTCCCCCACCACCACCAAATCTCTTGATTGTCCTCTCTCTAAGCGCATTAGCAATATTGATGTGATCCATATGCTGGTCATCAGCAACTGTGTTAGAGCCAGCCAATCTATAGTGTATGGTATTATTGTTATCAGTCGGCTTCTTCAGTAACACAGTGCATTATTGAAATCTCTAAATTTCTGTAAATTGTGTGTGATGAGTCGGTAAATATTCTACTAAATTGTATGTTGTAAACACGAATATGATCACTTACAGTTTTTTTTTAAACTTCTCTTATCTGTAGAGTAATAAATATGGTCTTTAAAAAAAAAATTATCAGCGTCTGGTGGTTGTTACGAGTACATCTGCCAGAAAGAATCCATGGAAACAAGCTCAGACCAAAAGACACATAATCAGCCTGACGACCCAAAGAAGAGAAAAATATTTGATGAAAACTTAGCAACAAAAGCCACATTTCAAACTGGCGTGAAGTAATAGAATCAGTAGAAGAACTAGAAGGAAACGTAGTATGAAGAAGAAATCTGATGTTTCTCTGTCAAGTAACCTTTGCTAATTTAAAATCTCCATTGTATGGTGAACTGAAACAGTTTAAAGAGGGAAATTATTATAAAAGACTTGAAAGGTTTATGAAAGTTTGGAGAAACAGGCAATTTCTGAACTGTATCCCTGTTAGTAAAAGGATTGGATAATTTTAGTTTTGTCTGAACAAAATTCAATTTTTTCACCAATCAGCATGATATGCCTTCTCTTTTTTTAACTCAGTATTTTATGCATTATTTAATTCTCTTCTAGAAAAATGATTTGAAAAGCTCAGAAATCTTTAAACAAATGGCTGCAACAGTAAAGGCTACTCCAGGCTTGGCTGCAAAAATTAATGCAGTTTTCCTGTGGAACATCACCAAAAATGAGGCTCCAGCAGCTCAGTGGGGTATGTCACTGATTATTTTATGAGGTTCATTGTTTATCATCATCAGGCAGCTAGTTCTTTGCAGAATACTGCTCTCTTCACAACCAACTGGTGATTCTAGATGCTTCACTGGTTGCTCTGCCCGAAGCCACTTTCCCAGTTTTCATTCCCTCATATTCACAACCCAAGTGCTAACCATCGGTTGTCCTAATATCACTGTTATATCATTGAAAGAGTGTTCTGGAATTTGCATCTGTTGGATTTTCATCCTATTAATGGCTCTTTGAGTCACTGGGTGTTAATTTTTTCAATGTGCAGTCCTTGAGGGGAAAAATGTGAAGAAGAAATTCCATTACATTAATGTCCCGTGTCTACCATAAGTTTAATGAGCCTCTCTGTCTGGTTTTCCTGGAAGCATCCCTTCCATTCTGCTCTCTATAAACCTCTAATGATTTATTTTTGTTTTTCTTCTGCCTTCCAACCCGTATAGGCCCTGAGCCAAGGCACACCAAATTGTTCTATCCTTGACTACTGCATGCGGCTCACCCTTGTCCTCCCCATCTTTTTTTTTAACTTCACTCTCTATCTTCCTTCTCTGAGTTTTTTTTTTTTTTTTTGGGGGGGGGGGGGGGGGAAATCTGATTATTGATCTTGCTGCTGTGTATATATCATCATCATCAGGTGCCTTGCCGGCTGGCATGGGCGATCATGCCTCTCCATAATCTGGGATCTCCTGCAGCATGTATCAGTTCGTGTGCTGACACACCTCCATGCCATGCAACAAGACTGTCAAGCATCTTCTCTCATTGTTTTCCTCTATCTCTCCTTCCACAGATCTTTCCAGTGGTCACAACATGTTGAAACTTCCCTCTTCTCATAACATGGCCGAAAAATGATTACTGTCTCCTTCTGATGTCTGTGATAAGTTGTCTTCGGGCTCCGGCCTCTTTCAAAACCTCTTTGTTGCTCTTTTTGGCTGTCCAAGGTATTCTAAGCATTCTTCTGTAAAACCACATCTCTGAGGCCTCCAGAAATTGTTTGGCCTGCCTACCGAGTATATATATATATATATATATATATATATATATATATATATATATATATATATATATATATATATATATATATATATATATATATATATATATATATATATATATATATATATATTATATATATATATATATTTATATATATATATATAAATATATATATATATATATATAATATATATATATATATATTTGTTTTTTCTAGTTTTTTCTTAATACTTTACTGTTTAGAAGCCAGCGTATTTTAATGTTCAAATCTTGTAGAATTTCCTAATTTCTTCCATTCATGGTGTTCTAAGATTCTGTTTTATTATTATTATTATTTTAGGGCGTTTAAATTTAAAAAGCCTCCATTTTCCTCTAGTGTTTGCAGAAATGGTTCTAAATTCATGTCTGTGTCTTGCCACATAAAACATGTCTGTTCTCAGAATATTTGCCATAAAATAGTGCCATACTGTTGACCCCTCCATACCTCCATACTATTTACCCTTGACCTCTGTGACAAGTCTTCATTTAACCTACTTTTAACATACAGCTTTAACTTATGTTATTTTTGCAGTTATTTTATAGTCATTTTAATATGTACATTTGTTATTACTTATGGCAGTTATGAGCCATGTAAGGTGTCTCGGAACTGTTCCGGTTATTGTGCTCATTTATGAAGACATTGGTTATGGCCATGATTTCCCTATTAATGGCAAGATGATAGCTTCTGATCACTACAACACTATACAGTTGTTGCAGCTTATAAATTATTAAATAGGAATTTTCTGGAAATTATCTGTTGGTGAGAAAAGCAGCAAGGAAGAAACTGCCCAGCCTACCTCATTATGACATAGACTAGCTCATATGAAAGTCTGACAATTTACATTCCAAATGCAGTATGCCTTGAGACTACTTTGGCAAGATGCTTACATTTCTTTATTTGCTCTGTGCATATTGCAAAAAATGTTTCACTTCACCTCTGTCAGACATACTATTGTATGTTGGTCAGTTACTGTACAAACAACCTTTCACAAAAATTATATATTTGAGGGGGAATAAAACTTACACATAGCTCATACTGTTTGAACTAAGAGTGGGCATAGTAAATCAGGCCACTCAGTTCCCATAGATCCGTGTCATCAAAATTGTTTAGGGAAACATCTACATCAGGGCTGGCTATTGAATTGGCCAGATCTGGACCAGCAAGGACCTAGCAGGTGGCCCACGGATCATTGCCAGTTGTATTATATTAATGATCTTTCTGTGACTCCAAATTTTCAATATTTTAGCCCCTGAATAAACTTAGTTATATAGCCCTGATATACAACATTGGTCATAGCATGAATGTTCCACCCTATGGTTCAAAGTAGGTAAAGCAGAACTGTATTGTAATCACGTGTGATTGAATCAAGAGTTGAGTGGGTAAAACAGTCACTGACGCTACTGTCGTGTTTACCACTTTTTTTAAAGGAAAGTGTAGACAAGAAGGACCCTGAGCCGGAGGATTTGGAAAGCACACTAATGCTATCACCACACACTGCAAAGATGAAGATGTTTATATTTGCCCCTGTCAGAAAAACTCAGTCACCTTTCCCGGGGAACTCAGCTCTCCAACCTGAGAGTCAAACATTGTTACTGCACTACTGGCCACTCCTCTGGACAGTACACTGAAATATCAGTAGCCTGAATTCCAAGAGGCTGGCAAATCAAGAGTTTTTGTTTAAAAAAATGTGTGCCAACTGGGAACTTATATCTCTGCTGGGACAAAATTGAATTAATGTAAACAGAGTGTTTTTTTAAGTGAGTTTGTGTTAACAAGGTCTTATTATATATTCTTAATTAATTTTTTTGTGGGCTTTCACATTGCCTCATATACTGAATAATTTATTTCTATATTTCCCCAACCTAGTTGTTGACATGAAGACAACCAAACAAGGAGAGATTTACCAAGGACAGCCTCGTTCTGGAAAAGCGGATTGTACTCTGACACTGAGTGATGAGAATTTTGTTGATCTTGTTTCTGGAAAACTGGATCCACAAAAGGTAATTTCACCTTTTAATCTTTTTTTATTTTGGAGACACAAATACCATCCCAACCTGCACAGTCTGTAGTGACTTCACTAGCCATGTGGCCCTTAGTCCTCAATCCTACAGACTCCCACCGCCTTCACCTCACAAAGTAGAAAATACTGGCAGTATTTTAAGTTTTTGTGTGTGTGTGGACAGATCATTTTTTTTTTAGCAAGACATAATAGTTTGATAGCTTTAAATCCATGTAAGAAGGAGGTTTCTATGTTTGGCACCCACTTGAGTCGCATCCATGCATAGATCATCATGTGGCTGGTCCTGTGACAACAACACTCTACCATATGTACAGCATGCTTGATTGCCACTTGGTCCCTTGCTGACTTTCACACCTCGTGAACTGTAATGCCCAAGTTGTCCTTAATATCCTGTGTCCACCATCATGCGGATTAACACCTGCCTTTTCTTCCATTTTTTTTCCTCCAAACCATTACAATAATGTATCTTTTTCTTCTTCACATTCACCGGCTGTAAACTTTGGTGGGACAGTTCTGCTTCTCGTCCACTTTGTTAGTCAATTTTTACAACATGCTTGTTAGGGGAGCGGTGGGTGTGTTCTTATTGCCATCAAAATGGGTCCCCATAACTCCTTTCTGTTCTTCCAGGAACCATAACCCCATTACTTAAAAAAAAAAAAAACATTATGGCGTTTAATATGGTGAATTCCCCACAGGCTCCATTCTGGAGAAATAAGAATAGACCTACTGCTTACCCAAAAGTATGTTGTAAGAGCTTTCTTTAAAGTCTGTACATCTGTCTGAGAGACAAAGAACCAGAAATCTGCATAATCTGTAAAACAGATGTGCCTGCAACACTCAGGTTCTGGAACAGGACTGGACTCCAGAAGTGGGTGAACAACCAGAACTTTCCGCTGGAATTTACAACCCAGTGAGCACGAGAAAGAAGAGGATATGGTCAAATTATTTAATCTTCTGAGAAAAAAAATGCTATCTATGTTCAGTACCAGAAGAATTATTTTCCCTCTTCTTGGTCCATGATACTTGAAGAATCTTCTTTTTCCATGATACTTAAAGAATCTTCTTTTTCCATGATACTTTAAGAATCTTCTTTTTCCGTGATACTTTAAGAATCTTTTTTTTCGTAATACTTTAAGAATCTTCTTTTTCGTGATACTTTAAGAATCTTTTTTTTCGTGATACTTTAAGAATCTTCTTTTTCCGTGATACTTTAAGAATCTTCTTTTTCCGTGATACTTTAAGAATCTTCTTTTTCTGTGATACTTTAAGAATCTTCTTTTTCCGTGATACTTAAAGAATCTTCTTTTTCCGTGATACTTTAAGAATCTTCTTTTTCCGTGATACTTTAAGAATCCTCTTGTTCCATGATACTTCAAGAATCTTCTTGTAACATTTCAGGTCAAGAATCTAAATTTTTCTTATTTAGTGATGGTGAAATAGGTCCCAATTCACATTTGAATGTCGCCATGGGACCTATATTTATATATATATATATTGTTATTTGAATATTACCATCTCATCTTTGCTAACTTCTCTTGGTCATCATTTCAGGCTTTCCTTGGTGGCAAACTGAAAATCTCTGGGAACATTGTACTTGCACAGAAGCTCAGCAGCATCTTCTCTTTGTCCTCAAAGATGTAACAGTGACTGCTAAAGCTAAGGTTGTGTTGTAATGTCATCAGAGAGAATGTAACTACATCTGAGGTTACAAGATATGGTCATAATGAAAGAATTCATTTTTTTTCTTCAGTTTAACTATATATTTTGTTAAATTTGTAATTGCTGTTTTTTTTTTTTTCTAATAAATTTTAAATCAATAAATATTATAATTTATTAATGAATGTGAGTGTGGGGGCAAGTGGATGACATTTGTTGTTTAAATAAATAAAACATAAACAATATATTGACCAGTTAAATGCCTGACATTGCACACATGATCATGACAGGCAAATTACTCCATAGATATAGCAAAATATGCCAGGCAATACAGTGTGATACCATATTTACGCATTTATAGGCTACACCTTGTTTCTGGGATGATAAATTTAGCGAGAAAAAAATTATTATCTCAGAATTTTGTCCAAACACTAAAACCAAAACAATAGTACTTGCAAACAGTGAAAGATGGGCTGTGTAAAAGCAAGTTACAGCGATAAATATAAGTTGCAAGTAGTGGATTATGCACAAGAAACAGCAGCTGGGAGGAAGTTTGATGTGGATGAGAAAAAGATATGTGAAGATTAATTGGATTGAAAGATACTCTTGTTGAAAAAGCATTCCAAAATCAGCAGTGTGAAAGAATGAAATACACAGAAGGGGAGACCAAATCTGCTGGAATGTGTACAGAAAATACAGGCTGATGGGTTTTCTATGTCTGTATTTGTCAGTTGTGAGACATCATGGAATTCCTCAGAGTGAATTAAAAGCTAGCTATGTCTGTCACATCATTACCTCATGATTTCAGCGGTATTGTTTTCATAAGGTATGTTTCAAAATGGTTAATTGTTTAAGAATACATTTTACAGGTGACATGTAGATCTAGTGTCTCGAATATAAGCCACACCTAATTTTTCATCAAAGATTTTCGGTTAAGAGACTGCGACCTATACACAGCTAAATACGGTATATTGTTTGTGTCTCATTTAAATTCATTGATGGGGTGATTTGTTTTGAATTATTGTTCATTCAGGAAATAATCCTTGTACACTGTATATGTTTTTCTCTCTTTGGCTGTAAGGATTACTGAGTTTATTAACAAGAGTATTGTTCTAGATGTAAATGTTTACATAACTGTGACAGTGTAAAGTTGTTGAAATTAGGCACTGCTGTGCTGGGGTTTACAACAAGGCTGCAATATCTACGCCTTTTGGCCTAACACATCAGTGAACTTCTAATTAGTCTCCATTTACGACATGATAATTAGGGGATTGTGGGTCTGTTCTCTTCCCTGACCCTCTCATCAGGCACTGCTCAAAGGTTCACCTATGATCAGTAGATATTTCCCTTGCCGTATTGTGACTTTTGAAGCTGAATTGAATCAAGATCCGAGATTACAGCATTTAGGACATTCCCAAGAGTTGATAAATCCATCTTGTCTTCCCTCTAAGTGCAAAGTGTCAGAGGGATCCCCTGGTCATGCCCACTTTGAAAGCAGTATTACTCATTCTGTTTTAACTGTTACTATTATCCTCATTGGGCATTAGCGGCAGACTCTTCCAGTTAACTCTTTCACAACCAAGCAACTCACATATGGTTTTTAAGAGTTGCCTGTCATGCAGTGTTTTCCTGAGTAGCTCATACTCTGTCTAGCTATGGCTGTGACTTATTCTATCCCAATTGTTAATTCAGTTTTGTTTGTCCCTTAGTGTTCTTTTTTTTTTTCAAACCCTTTCAGACAAAAATACTTTTAGGCAATGAGCAGTTAAAGAATCACATGGTTGAGACCCAAAAAGAATTAAGAACTGAAGAAGCTGCTTTGAGATATTCTGTACAGAATCTGAAGATTGAGCCAGTTGCTTTGACGAACATTTGGCACTTCCTTATGATCTTATTATGACAGATATATCTGGACTAAGAATGGTTTCATTAGCCACTTCAGGACCTACTGTAGTAAATTTATGTTTAGTAATGACTTCCCACTGTGGTTTTGGGGCCCATTTATGGGGATGGAAGTGTGAGGGGGAGGGGGGGAATACATCCACTGCCATCTAACAAACTTGCCATAAATGTTTACTAATAAAGGGTTACCTTCAAAGTAGGGGTGCGTAAAATAAGCCAGATCTTTCAAATGAACGTGCACACAGAACTCAAGTTTTGGGACAAGACTAAAGTCCGAACAATTAGAACTTTTCGTTGGAGTTTACACTTGGTGAAAATGAAGAAGAGGAAGAAGAAGCGGAAGTAATGACTGACAAAGAAATGTACCTGCAGTAGGGACACATTATTTGTCTTTATCTAACCTGCATCTATAGAATATGCATGAACTATGAAATTGTATTTTAAGTGATGTGACCTTACCAATAATTTTCTTTTTTTTTTTTTTTTTTAATTTTTAATTTTGTGTGTGTGTGTGTTAATTTTGAAATGTTAAATAAAGATTTTATGAAATTGAAAATAACTTGTTTGCAGTTGTTTGCATGGAATGGCTTGCATCACTTGATAAGATTCATATCAGGAACATGTCATTGATTTTCTTTCATAGTGATTTGGGTGTGCATGATAATGAGCTGCCTCTCCTCTGGGCCACCAGCTACTTAATGATAAGATAGATATCATGGTGGCTGTCTGAGATAAAGTGGACGCTCTCTGAGATAATGTGTATAGTACAATAGAACCGAGTATCCATACACTAAAAGACTTTATTTAGTGGAAATCAGATTTATATCTGCAGCAATGTTTCTTGCAAGAACTGCTCTGACTTCTGGAAATGTTGCATGCTTCTTTAGAATTTAGCATCTAGAGCTGTTGCATCCAGCTTTATAATAGATCATTGTGAGCTGTGTTTGGTACAGTGTTGCAGTATATGTTCTGCAGTTTGTGCCAGTATGTACCCTAGAGCCTGTTGTCTTTAGGTTTTCTATGTTGTCTAATTAGCTAGAAAAGATATAAACCCAAACGAAAAGTGTATTAGCAAGCTTCACAATATAACAAATAAAACAAAACTTGAACGTTGCGGCTATTGAGCCTTCATCAGCACATACAGATTAAACATGTCTAATTAAACAGGTCTAATTAGCTAGTCTGGTTGTTAACACTAGTATCATCATCATGAGATGGGTCAATGCTAATACCATTTTTAGGACACTAGGTCAACCTCAGAGTAACACTGTTAGCATTATTGTGAGACTAGGTCAGCTTCAGAGTAACAATAGTACCATTATTATAGTACCACACTGTTAGCATTATTGTGAGACTAGGTCAACTTCAGAGTAACAATAGTACCATTATTATAGTACCACACTGTTAGCATTATTGTGAGACTAGGTCAGCTTCAGAGTAACAATAGTACCATTATTATAGTACCACACTGTTAGCATTATTGTGAGACTAGGTCAACTTCAGAGTAACAATAGTACCATTATTATAGTACCACACTGTTAGCATTATTGTGAGACTATGTCAGCTTTAGAGTAACAATAGTACCATTATTATAGTACCACACTGTTAGCATTATTGTGAGACTAGGTCAACTTCAGAGTAACAATAGTACCATTATTATAGTACCACACTGTTAGCATTATTGTGAGACTAGGTCAACTTCAGAGTAACAATAGTACCATTATTATAGTACCACACTGTTAGCATTATTGTGAGACTAGGTCAACTTCAGAGTAACAATAGTACCATTATTATAGTACCACACTGTTAGCATTATTGTGAGACTAGGTCAACTTCAGAGTAACAATAGGACCATTATTATAGTACCACACTGTTAGCATTATTGTGAGACTAGGTCAACTTCAGAGTAACAATAGTACATTATAGTACCACACTGTTAGCATTATTGTGAGACTAGGTCAACTTCAGAGTAACAATAGTACCATTATTATAGTACCACACTGTTAGCATTATTGTGAGACTAGGTCAACTTCAGAGTAACAATAGTACCATTATCATGACTGGGTCAACCTCAAAGTATTGCTAGTAACAGTAACATTATTTTGGTAAGACTAACACTGGTTGAGGGAATTGTTTCCACCGAGGGAATCCGAATTAGAATATTGTGACAAATAAATCACTAATCGCTCATGGGCAGTCTTCACAGTGAAGGTTGGCTAAGACTATTTTTTTTATCTCTCCTTGGTTGTGCAGTTTCAGACCAGTTCAATAATCTTTTGATATTAACTTCCCATTTTTATTTCTCTTAACCTCTTGCTTGCTGTCTTCAGTTTTTCTCTCCAATATGGTTTTTATGAATGTTACGGTCCAAATATTTCATTTTTCCTTCAAGAACTATTTTTTCTCAATCCTGTCTCTCCAAAACCTGTATGTTTGAGATGAGTTGAATCAAGAACTGATAGCACTCTGGATATTCCCATGTGCGCTGCATGCTCATCTTCAGCAGCCAGTGAAGTGTTCCAATTGTGATGGTACTAATTGCCTTTTTTTTTTTTTTTTTTTGCAACATACGAGGGGAAGTCAATATGTAACTCACAAATGGTTGTTAAAAAAAACCCAGACGATAACAACTTGAAAACTGTTTTTTACACATACACAGCCCCTTTATTTTTCAAAATAATTTCACCAACATTGATGCACTTGTCCCATCATTTTGTCAGTCCTTCCAAACCTGCTACATAGAACTGTGTGCTCTGTTTTCTAAACATTTTCACTTCACATTCAACCTCTGCATCATTCATGAAATGTCTCCCGCCAGAGGTGGGTTTTCAGTGGACCAAAAGGTGGAAATCACTAGGGGCTAAGTCAGAGCTGTAAGGTGGATGTTCCAGAAGTTCCCACCCTAGATAGTTAATTTTGTCCTGATTTACACAGAGCTGTATGTGGTCTGGCATTGTCATGAAGGAGCAGTACTCCTCTTGTCAGCAGGCGTTCTTCTACAATTTTAAGCACCCTTGAGAAGAAAAAAAAATTGCAGCTTTTTACCGCTTAACAGAATAAACATTTGTCAGCATAAACAGGAA